AACTTTTTTATATTAAAAAAAAATTAACTCATTTTCAACGGTTTTTTTGTGGGTGCGAAGGCCGTAATAGTGCAGATTTACAGCTAAATATATTTACTAAAAATATTCCGCAAAATACAAAGAAATTTGCATATTCTTTTTTTAAAAAACAAATTTGGCCACCGCAATTTCAAATAGTTCAACGTTGGTTCTCTACTAAGTTTCTTATCGTTAGTTTAAATTTTTAAAAATCACTATCACTTCTATGAGTCAGTCTCATTGGTTTTTTTCTTTTTAGAAATGACAGTAGAGAAACTTTGTGATCTATTTTTGAGAATTAACTTAAACTCGCTCGGTTACCCATTTAAAGACGAGGAAACTTTGGTTTGTTTTGGACTTTATTATGTTTTGTTATTTTTTGTATATAAAAGAATATTAAACTTTTTGCAAACTAACGAGTGCAATTAGTTATAATATTATTAGTACGTAAGAAGGTCACAAGTGTTTTTTTCTACTTAAGGGGTGGTCTTTGCATTCCAAAGCATCGGCGTTTAACCACTCGTGTTCTCCCAACTGCTTCATTTTAGGAAGTATGAAGAGAATAATTGGCTTTACTATGTTAGAATTTGTGTTTTTCTGCTTTTAGATGGCGATGGGACAGTCACTGTAAAGACAATCGCTCACGTGCAAAAAGGTTTCTTTGTATTTTCTAGTTCCTGTACTTTTTATTTATGTTATTTTCTTTCCGTTTTTTGAACACTTTTTTTTTGTTGACTTTTTGGACCTTAACTTTTTGCCTTTTTTTTTCTAACTCCCTGGAGTACACGATGTCACGTTGTATTGATCTTGTTAAAATATCCATTATGTCTTTCTCATAGGCGAAGAGTTAACTATTTCTTATATTAATCTTGCCAATTTCCCCGGCAAAGAAGAAAGAAGAAAATATCTTTATGAAAATTATTTATTTATATGTGATTGTTCCAAATGCCAGCGTTAGTAAAAATTTTAGAAGTAATGCGTTGCCCTTTCGTGATAGATATACTTTAGCTTTAAAAAAAGTTTTTGACCTCTTCCACATATGATTTTGCTAAGCAGGCCTTTTAAATTTAGTTGTTAAACATACTATACCGTCATTACAGAATTTAGAATAAAATAATACTTAGAAATAATACTTAGAAACACTTCTAGCATATAAAAGTGCACTTGTTTATTTTTTTAATAAACAAAATTTCCATTAGTTAAACTTAACACCTTTACTTCGTGGTAAGGTAGGTATTAACCTTCTCGTTCAAAGCCCAAAGTGTTCGGGGGTGCGAGCTTGAAAGTTCAACTATAGTCCACCGATAACTGATTGCGCAGAGAATTTTCAAAATTGCGTTTGGTAAAATATGGGGGGACAATCAGACAGGTATGCTCTTCGACGTAGATATTCATGCGGAAGTGCAATAGATTTTAAGAGCACTTCTGGTCTGTACGTCGGTTACGAGCGCCACAGTTTATATAAGTAATTACGCAGCGGGTTTGTAAGGTCAAAAAATAAACTTATCGGTATTTATAAATTGTGGGTATAAATACTGGGAAACTTAAAAAGAAACTGTTCAAAAGAGTGCTTTTAAGTTAACTATGCGACTATTTTATCATTAAAAAGTTGTATGTACTTTTTTACCGCGAATACAAAAAAAAATACTCAGGTTTTCATAAGTCTTTTTAGGTAATAAAAAGAACCTAAGCTTTTTTTATATAATAAGGCGTCATAAAAAGTAGCAAGCCTTTCCTTAAAGGCATCTCCATAATATGAAATCACCACTAACTCAAAAAAGTTTCAGGTATAAAAAACCTAGAACTTAAATATGCAAATGCTATATACTCCATTTCTGTTGCCTTCCAAAGAACTCTGAAGTTTAGACTTTTCATTTATTAACCTAAACAACACCTATTGATAATAAACACAGGTAAAGCTCTCGCGTATGGGATTGAATTCTTTAAGTAATAACCAGATAGAAGGCTTTATAGTGGCTGTGTTGTCAAATTTAATGCACCATGCGTGCTACCCCCAAAAGTGACACATTACTAAACATGAAATCTTGAAAAAGACTTCAAAAATTAAAAGTATTAAAACGAAAAACGAAAAACTTATAATAAATAATTAACGAGATATTAGATGGGCATACTATTTAACCATAAAACTATAAATAGACCCGGACAAGGACAAGTATAAGGTGCACAGCTGATGAAATATAGTCTGCATGTTCCCGACGGAAAACACTTTGCGCTGAATGCATTACTGTATGCCGAAAAAAGGACCGCCAGTGGTAATTAACAACCAGCTTTCTTATTTTGCAACTCATGCAATGTCGCTTGGGCGATGCAAGACAACATGGACTAAACCAGACCTCAGCAAATATTACCCCGTTAGAATACTCTCAGCAGTGAGCAAACCGTGGCGTCCAGGCTGAAAAAGTTTTTAGAAACAGGCAAAGCTGCTCTAGAATTATAAATTGGATGGCGAAGAGTCCACTCGACGACTAAACAACTTTTGCGCTTTGTTGATTGGACAACTCAAAACTTTAGTCACGGGGCGTCATCTTTGTTGATTTTTTTTAAAAAGGCCAAGAACGCGTAAGATTTCCTACGCAAACTACGCGAGGAAAGAGAAAAGGGGTAGGGAAGAAGAAGAGTAACAATGTATAACTAAAAGATTATGAAAAAGAAGAGGGCTGAGCAATTTAAAATTTTTTGTATTTATATTTTCCTATTATTTTGGCGCATTCTCCGCCTAGTATATAACGTTCCGTTTTCAGAATGTTATTAGGTACCGTACCTCGTCACCCTCTACAACATACTTGCGCCCTTTCTAAGCAAAACGCATTGAGAATTGGCACTTGGCACTGCACTGTCTCATACCGTGGACGGACAGCTAGTAGTCCGGAAGTCTTTTTGCTCTCGATCCTACTCTTTGCGCTGTGGATGCGAGACATCCCACTCCCAGCGATTCATCATGCCCGCATCGCACTCTACACCGATGACAATGCAGTTTACGCTTAATCAAAGAGCCTCTCGTTGTGCAGTCCCACCTGGAAACACTCGCTAACGGGTGTCGACAGGTGGGTAACTATTAAATGCAGAAAAACGTAGAGCAAAAATTTTTAACCAAGAAGGTGCACTGCATTACTCCCAGCCTCTAACCCTCAGAAGGTTTTAAATTCGGTGGAGCCCTCCGCCAAAATACTGGGCGTCACTATCGATAAGCGACTAACTAGGCGACATAAGACACTCTCTAACAGCAGCTCTGTGCAAAAAAAAAGCACTGCATCCATAAATTGTGCTGGTGTGTTCTACAATGACCCACGCATCTGTTGCTTGGACGTACGAAAAACAATCGAACAAAACAAGCTACTGCGACTAGTGGCCGATGCATTTCATTCAGTACCCATAGACACGTCGCACGACAACCGGGATCTGAAACATTTTAAAGTCTTTTTCCGAAATAGTAGGCATCCAAACCACTATTGGGCTTAAGAGCCCACACACGAGCCCTGGGCGGGTGTACGCTTTCAACCATCTCGTGAATACAGGCTTTGAGTCCACAATTATCGTAAACCTCTACACGTATATATAAATTGTTCGGAAACTAAAAACAAAGTAATCTAAGTTTTTGGCAGAAGTAACCAACTTGCTCTCGACTTTACTAAGCACCTGCACAGTATGAGATAATATGGAAAATAAAATTTCAAATATAATGCTTATCTAAAAACCGTTCATAACAAGCAACAAAAGAGGTTAAATAACTACCAAAAGCAATTTACTAGCATACAGGAAAACTACATTTGGGATCTTAAAATAAAAGAGAAACAAACCCTTTATTTCAAGCGTACCTATTAGGTAAAGAATAGCTTTAACCGATAGTTATTTTAAAAAAAAACAGTCTATTTATAAAAAGTTACACAAGTAATATAAGGGCCAAGCAAAAAATACTTAACGATTAAGATGCACAGTAAAGCTGCAATAAGAATAAACCCCGGTTTCACTACAACTAACTAAAAATTAGTAATTTAATTTCCAGAAATACCGCTTATGTTTGTATAAATAATAACAAAGTAAAAAACCATTAAGATTTAAGGCGAAAACTACTTAAAACTAATTACATAACTAAAAATTTAATAAAAAAGTATTGTAAAGTTATCCACAAAGTTTAAGAACAATTATGATTGTTAACAACATTTTATAGGGAAAATAGAAAACGAACGTTCGGGAAGATAAAGTAATTTTTAAAGACTTATTAAAATGTAGTTATTACATAAGTTACTATTTTCTTTATTTGATATATTTATGAAGTAAATGAGCTACTTCAAAATCAGGTTTAAAGCTTATTTTCAATAACAGGAACGCCATAATAGTAAAATAATTTCCGCAATAACTCAACCGAAACCCTAAATACCAGTATTGTTCGAAAGTAAAAAAGTTATATACAATATTTTATTAAGCAAATCAGGCCTTCCAGTAATTGAAATGTTTATCGCTGCAAGGTTCTCTCTGTTTATGCTCTTCAGTATCCCGAGCTTTCTCGGTTTTTTTTATAGAACAGTCTTCTTGCAACCTTGATATGTTAGTTTTATCTAAATAAAGTATAAAAAACAAGAAAAAAAGGGAGTGCCTACCTAAAATCTTAGACACTGAAAGACCATTAAACTTACCACTACTACTCGGCCAAAGGTCGTGCAGAAGTATAGTCATATAAGCAGAATTTAAAACAGAACATAATAGTAATACACGCTAAGACTACCAAAAGATCTTAATTTAACCTTTAAAAAGTCAATGTTGCCTTAAATTATTTATTTTATACAAACACAAGAACCATAAAAATTTATGTGAGTGTCTCCCAAAACGATGCTGGTAAAATTCGGTTTAAAAACGTGCACTCTTAGCTGGTGCCTATTGACGCGCGGTGTCCCGTTTTTTTGGTATTTAATCACATCAGATAAAATGGTATAAATAATAAGGAAAGTGGGTAGGGGCATACCAGTGGGTGGTCCCTCCATATAGCGAACAAATCTTTCGCCTTTTACTAAGGATTTCCGTGTGGGGGGACAATGTGCCTTTTTGGGTTACAATTTTTCCTAACGGCTTTCCCCCGGGTGGGGGAGGGCCTGAACCTAATTAACTTAAATGAAAAAAAATTCAGCCGGCGATGGTGCGGCTGGCTTTGTGGCTCCGGAGACTACGCTACTGTGTGAGCAAAAGGGAAGAGAGTCGGGGGGGCGCGTGGCCCGCCCAGGGGTACTGGCAGACGTGGCATGGTTTCTTTCCTCCTTGTGGAGGGGGGAACTGCTCGGGGTTTTTATGGCCACTTTTTTTAATGACTTTTTTTCAGAGCCTTGGGGTGTGATGAGAGGCTGATGTCATTTATAATAATATAATGCAATACAAATACACCCCATATACAAAAACCATACAGAGGCCTTCTGGGTGTGTCCGTGGTATCTCTATTATTCCAGTTAACTAACCCCTCCTTTTGGACCTTTACAAGTTTGTTATTTTTATTTTAAACTGTTAAGTTTTTCCTGTAAAGGATATTTTTTATGGCTGAGGATAATATATAAATATCTATTGCTTTATTCCCTCTTTTACTTCTTTTACCGCAATTATAAATTTTTTATCCCTTTTTAAAAAGTAACTTACCATTGAAAAACTGGAATTGGAATGTGTAAATGTTTGCGGGGGGGGGGAGGGGGAAGTAAAAAAATGACCTTAATAAATTTAAAACTTCTTACCAGTTTTCCACTAACCTCAACAACGGAGAAGAACCGAAAGATTGAGAGCACGCAAGGTTCTTTTAAGTCATATTTAAGCCAAGCGAAAAACTTAAATAACTGAATTGAGAACCCGAAGATCAGAAATTTCATGAAGGGCAGATTTACACCGCACAGTTCCTGCAAAAGTAAATTAAAAAGTTAATAACTTAATACGTACAAAGCTAAAGGTAAGTGCTGCGGCTGAGCACAACTTTTTCTTTAATAATTAATAGGTTATCAATACTTTAACAATTAAAAAAAAGTACTCGATAACACGATAAATACATTCAAGCAATACAAACTTTATGATAATTATTTTTAACAGAGGATATTTAGTAAACCACCTTGTAAAGAATACTATTAATCTAAAACTTAAAAATTAAAGGGGCAGACCCGAAGACTAGAAGGTAAAAGTAAAAAAACCGTTCGACAAATGGCATATATGCGTAGCCCAGTCGCCCAGGCCATCAAAAAGATGTGTAGCAAGTAAGATGGTAGCCTCGCGCTGTTTAGATTCCTCAAGCAAATAGGAGTTAGTAAATACAACATTATTCACTGTATGATTCTAAAAGCCAGTAAGAAAAAGTATTTAGAAACCAGATTTATAACAAAAAACGAGGGTTAGAAGGTAAATAATTATAAAATTGAAATGCAGTAAAACAGAAAATTTTATACCTCTTCTAAAAAAGAAAGAAATTTTTTTCGCATTACTATGTCTAAATCGGCCAAAACTTCATCCAGTAATAGTAGTTTAAATGGAATAAGCAAATTTAATAGTAATTGTACACGTCTCCTCTCACCATCTGAAATCTGGAAATATTTAAAGGGAAAGGAAAAATAACTTATTATAACTGATACTGAGTGCATATGCCACCAAGGATCGACTTGCAAAAGGTCAACAAGTTGAGAAAATCTGTTTTTATCGTAATTTCCTGTTACCATTTATTAAAAATAATGTCCAAGTTTATTATAGTAAATCAAGTAAGTTTACCGTTAAGCGCTTCGATTAACTTAAGAACTTTCACATCTCGTTTAACCAAAGGATTTGAAGCCCAATCTGAAGAGACGAAACTTAAAGAAGCTGGCGTGTTTTCATAAGCTTTGGCTCCTAAGACAATAACTTCACCATGTTGAAACAACTGCTTTCCCCCAATAATTCTTAACAATGTCTAAGAAAATTTACAAATGCGTAAAATTGTTAAGTAATATAAGATTTTCCCCAGATGTTTAATTTTTTTATTAAGGGTGATATTTACATAGATAAACTTAACTGTTTTTCCTGTTCCGTTCAGCCCTACGAGCAAGCACCTTTCCCCTAATAATACGTTAAAATTCACCGACTTCAATATTGTTTTAGCTTTAGAGTAAGAAAAGCTTAAGTTTTTAACTTCTACAGCATAATTGGACTGCATTACTCGGTATTTACAAGATAAATGTTTACTAATCTTATTACGGCGAGGACATCCTTTAAAAACACTCGTAAAAACGCACCTCAATTTTGAGGCGACCGACTACTTGGTGAGAGGCGTCAAGGCTTCATAATGTACTAAAAACAAAACTTAAGTGGTTTTGTGGTTCGTTGTTCTTAGCCATTTTTTTTAAAAAACAAGTTTGTGGCTTATATTACAATGTTATCCTATTTTAATGGCTTTCCTTGTACTTCCGTTTATCTTCCTGTGTGCTTAATATAATATATGCTTTTTATAACGGCGAGAAGGTTTCTTATGTTTCTCTTATATAAACGATTTTTTTAGGAAATTTTTAATTTTAGTTAAGATTTACCCGGGAATATTTATAAACTTTTCATTGTTCAGTAAAAAATTCGTAGTCAATTTTTAAAATTTACACTGCTCAAGCCGTCTCCACCCCCCCCTCCCCCGCCTTCTCATTCCTTAGCCCTACTAGGCCCACGAAGTAGGTAATGAACCAAACTCTGCTTTAGTTAACATTCCAACTCTAAATTTTTAAAATTTATAAAAAAGAGTTTTGAGACCTAAGACGTTTTAACTTCATAATTAAGAACAGTTAAAATCGCTCGTCATATTTAGTCGTTAGGTTAAAGTGTTAGATGTAAGAAAAGACCTAGTTTGGGGGAATTAACGTGTTCTTAATAGGTATAATAGCCTTCCATCGAAATTTTTTAGGTTAACGATATTAGTTTGGTATCTTTTTTCGTTAACTAATTATATATAGTGTCCAGATTCTTTTACAACTTATTCTTACTTGGTCAAGGACACCCTTTTAAAAGATATAGTTTGTCAGACAGCGGCTTCAATTCCCGAAGACGATAAAATTGGTGAAGCTTTGAATTGCTTGAAGACACTTATAAGTTAGGAATAGAACTGGAATAAGGTGCTTGCCTAATGCTAGGCAGTCTTGTAGTTTGTTTTATAGCTTAAAGTCATTAACCAAATACTCTTATATTATAATATACGTGAGTGTTAACTGTATATCTTTTATTTTTTGATTTTGTTATTAATTAATATTTTTTTTATTTTGAGTATTTAAGTAGAAACTAGAGTAATATTTATTAGTTATTAAAATACCACAAAGAAACTAGACTTAACCGCTCTAGTTCATAACATCCTTTCTTAATTATTTCTTCTTTTTCACCTTCTTTCTATACGGGAAGACTTCTTTAAAGGTTATAAAAAAGTTAGCACCCAAATCCTTGACTTTCATGCTACCCAGAAAGTATAAGAGGGTCTTAAGATAACATAAGGGCGCGGGCATGAGTCTCGGGCCCGTGTACCATTAACATTTGCTTTATGGAGTGTTCCCTTTTAGGATTCTGCTTATACAGTAGTTAAAACTAGGGAAAAAACTTATTTAAAAAAGTCAATAAAGATAAGTTAATAGTACAAGTATAAAATTAATAATAGTTAAAGATTTGTATACTTGCGAGAATCTTTACTATTAATCTAGTGATATCATCCTACTACTTCTGAACAAATCTCTCCTTGCGATCTAGATAGTATTATCCTTATTTTCACAAAGCCATTTTTGTACAAGCATATGTATAATTTTTAAAAATTTATCATTAGATAATTATCTATTATTTATGTTAGTAACTATAATATATTTAAGTTAGCTGCAACGGAGTTACCTAATTCGTATGAATGAGCTAAGGTAAGCATGGCCTCTGCCGTATGCTTCGATTGGCCCAACTTTTATCAAATAAATTTCCTTCTAATTCTAAAAGTAAACGTGTAATATAGTACGTTGCTTCACACCTTACCACCGACTCTTATTTTTAGAATGGAATCGGAGGAAAGAGTAAACAAAATAAGCTTACAAAACGCTAAAGTGGCTAAAGTTTCGGACTTATTAAAAGTACGCTTCTTTTTAATTTTGATTTATTTTCTATATATACATATACTTTGGTGTTCTTATAGCCTGCTTAAGCTTCTTTCGTTTAAAGGCCTCAGATTTAGAGCCGAGTTTTAACAATTTTTTTTCAAATAAAATTATATTGGACGAGGACACCTACAATGATGCCGTTGGAGAAATTATTGAGAGGTGTTCGCCTTTTATATTTTAATAAGTCTAAAAGTTATAGTTTGTAATATATATAGAGATTTTTTTCCTCACCATAGAAAAATGCGATATCAAAAGGAATATATACAAGCTCAAAAAATGGGAGATAGGTATTTTTTATTATAAATTTTTATTAAAAGTTTCCTTATCTTATCTTAAGCCAGAAAATGCAAGAGCTGATAGCTCAATTTCAATCAGGCTATGAAGGAAACATTGTAACTCCTTTTAAGGCTAGTTCACTTTTCGAGTATATTTTATATATGAACTATTATAATTTTGGTAAAATAGGAGGATTGTACTCCTCTACCCAAAGTGACTACTGAACTTGTTGATAGCGATCCGCCGACTGGCCCTTCTTCGTCTCTGTTAATTGAAGAAGACCTGTTAGTTGGGCAGAAGCCTAATGTGGCCAACGTCTCGCTTAATCAGTTTTTTTCGAATTATGGTGTTTGTTTTAATAGCTTACGTTTGACCTTAATTTACGGCTAAAGATAATTATATAATAACATTTAGTATGCGAAGACGACGCTTCTTTCGAAGTTATAATGGCTAAAGAACGGAAGAAACGTCGAGAAAAGTCTGCTTGGTTATACGATTCTGAGAGATTGGCTATTGAAAGACATGTTAACCCTTTGATTGTTCTTATTGATTAATTTTTCTAATTACCTTTATTTTATTTTATTTTTCCTGTGCATCTTTTATTTTCTGTTATACCAGGCAGGCGAGCGCGAAAAGATTTCTGGGCCTCTTGATCCACTTTTGGGCTACACAGCCAAGAACGCGCTTATGTTTGTCCCGAGTACCAATGAGTCGGTCCACTCGAAGGAAGCGCGACTTAAAATGGCCACCGCCAGGAAGGTGATTGTCAGCTCCCGCTCAGCCCTCTCTTCTTGTTTACCTCCTTTCCTTCCATCGCTCCTCTCTTAGGTTTGTTATGAAAATACACGACTCCTGTACGATCCTTTCAAGGCGCCCCGACCACTGCACAAGGCGGCGAGCCAACTGAAGCTCAATGCAGAGGGTTCCTACATTCTGGTATAGCTGCACTTTATTCTTGTGCCCGACCATCTTTATAAAGATCTCGACTCCGGCACGCTGAAGCCAGACGGAATCGAACGCCAAGTATTAGAAGGTCCCTGCGTTGTCTGCTTATTGCTTCCTCGCTAATACGGCCTGCCTTAGAAAAGTCTGCCTTGCGCTCGCTAGTATCCCCATCTCCTGCTCCACATATTTACGACTCGCCGCTGATGACATGGGGTACTTTCCCAGCAACATCTGCTTTTGTAAACTGCTCATTTTGTGCACTCAATAAGGCTCCATCGAAAACACACCGCTCCGCCTTGATTCGGATGCAAGTTTTTCGTTGGGTATCACTTCATATGTTAACGTTCTACACATTGTACAATGGGGCACTGTGATATCTATTTTTGAGGACCTTCTTTTCAGATGCCGCAAAAGACATCTCGAGAAAAGGCCGAAGAGGAAATACAGGAAAAGGCCTCGCTTGCGAGAAAAAGTGAGTTGAACAAAAGAAGAAGAGGGACTATCGCCACGCCAGTTGCTGGTATGATTATCTCTGTTCTGTTTGTATAATAAGTAAGCTCACTCCCACTAGGGCCTAAAGCCAGGCTGACCGCTAATAGGGCACTTGCTATGACGCCCGCCGCACAGAAGTTAATAAAGACCACGCTGAAGAGGACGGATGGTGCGCTGAGAGCCTCATATACTCCGCAAAGCAGTTCGCATTATAGTATGCTCTTTTTTACATGTCGCTAAGCACACTTTTGTAACCCCGAGACGGTTGCCAGCCCGCACCCCCTCCCGGTTACGACGTGTGGACCCCACCCCCCAGGGAAGCTTGCGCTCTTCCCAGAGCGCTACGCCCAGTCAAACCAAAAGTATTACGGACGATTTACTGGAAATTTAGCATCGCGCATTTAGTAAATGTTATGCTACTGGCGCTGGGGACGCCATTTACAGCTTTCACGGACTATGCCGTGTCTGCAGCTACAAGAAGTTAATTAAATGTTTAATTAAGTTGGCTTATTGGTGCAATTTTTTATATTGGCTCCCATCTGCAAGGCGGCGGCTTCACCAGAAAATATTCCTTTTTAGACGCTCGTTTTCCTCGCGAAGTCGCATGTTTTCCTTCATTAGTTCCTGCAATGACTATATTAGCCGGGTAGGCTTTATAAGTAGTAGAGGAGGAGACCTCGTCAAATCGCTTCGTGTCCAATTTAGACCCAAGTTCGCCCTTTTATATATTACAAACAGAGTGAGAGTGGGAAACATACCAAAAATAATACGGTTTGGGTATAGAATTGCTCAATGATTTCCATGTGAACTGTTTGGATTTCGGCGCGAATAAATTGTTTCATTCCTGCAAGGCGTGTAAGGAAAGAAGCGAGCGAGGGAAGGAGAGGAGCTATCAGTACCCGTAAAATGCTCCTCCAATAATTCTTTCATAGCTTCCAAGGGGAAATGCCTCAGCTAGCGAGAAGTATTAAAAAGAAATACGACCCGAATGCAACAAAATGAAAGGAACCTCGGGATGATTAGACCTCTCTTCCTCGTATTGCACTGACTTACTTTTAGTAGTAGCAGCGTTGTCGAGCGATACTTGCTTAGTGTGCTGGTTATAGTGGGGAGGCGGAGTGTCGGAAGCGCAATCTATAGTAGGGTCTTCAAAATGCACTTTATGCTGCTCCTCTTTTTTTTCAAGTAGAGGATTTTCTTTTATCTGCGGCGATTTTACCTTCTTAATTAGCTGGGCTTCTGCTAATAATACGCTAATTACGACCAGTTATAGCAATTATCAAAATGGACCCTCTAAGACCCGCGGATGATTGAGATGAGATTCTCGAAGAACTTTGCGATTCTCTTTGTTGGCACCTATTATATCCGGCTCTAGCACATGCATAGGAATAATATTTTTTGAAAACGCGGTTGACTTATTGGCTATGCTCACTATTAAATACCCGTCTTGATTGGACTAATACAGTCAAGACCGCCCTTGACCAATAGTATACGTAAATGGTTTTTTTAATTGAACACTCCGATACTTGTACCAAAGTTGACTGGTGAATATTGGACGCCACCAAAGATGCATTGGGCTCAAGTGATTGGAGAGAGTCGAGTTTAATGGGAGATGGCTGCTGTTCTGCGATTGTATTAGCCTACGCGTCAATAGTAGAAGCTGCTTTTATACGCTTTTCAGAGCGCAGAGACGAGACAATCGGCGCTACAATGGAGATGACGGCTCCAGTAAACGCTTCAATGTTACTAATAGCGCTACTCGTCTTCCTAAGATCGTACACAAGGACCCTGCCTGTTGCCAATTACCAGAAATATATGTCCAACACGCACGAAGGCATAAAATACCAGAAGTAGTGCCGGCTATAAAGTAAAGACCATTAGCCGAGTATGTACCGCACGGTAAAGGTGCGTCCGTTTTAATTGTCCCTAAAACGCTACAACGGCAACTTAAGTTCCAATATAACGAAGAAATAAAGATGGTCCACCTCCTGCTCTGAAGAGCGTACATGTGAATGCATTTGTCCAACCCCAAACTGATGAAGTGGTCCCTTTGAAAGGGTGCAAAGCACATGCTAGTGCATGGCGCGTGGTGAAACGCTAGAGGGTTATGCTAGAGAAAGGCGAATGACCAGTGCATGCAGCGGAGTACCGGCCCCATAAATCCGCTGACCCGTGTTGGCGCTCCACACGTCCACTGCGCCGTCGTCGTTGCCAGTGCCCACGTAGGAGGAGTGGAACGGGCTTACTTCTAAGGAGCGGACGCCCTACATTGGAAAAAAAAATTAAGTTCACGTGACGGTCACCCTCAAGGCGCCCGGTAAACCTGAGAACCTGGACGTTGAAAAACTCCTCGCTTTTGGCCTTTAAACAAAATATTCTATAAGTTGGAGTAACGAGGCTCAAACATAGGAAGGCCACCCGAAACAACACTATGAACTATAATTTGGCCGGTTTGACTTCCACTAAACAAGTGTGTGTCGCCCCTGCTAAACCGAACGCTGAAGACTGAACTCTGGTGGCCCTAAAGCAATAAAGCACAACCATCAACGACAGACTTAAAAATGAATAGAAAACAACAACTTCATAAGCCTTAACGGGTGTTTTCGATCTCAAGTTATAAACTTGAACCAGCTTTGAAGTACCACCAGTGACAATAAGCCTGGTCAAAAAAATTTAATTTGAATATATGAAAATTAAAAAACACAGGAAAAAGTACATATAAACGGAATAATAACAAGTATTTGCTAGCAACTGAGTAGGATACGGAGAGCCTTTACGTTATTAAGCCTTCTGCTTATATATAATTCTTTGGCTAGAAGAGTTTCTATGATTATTTCGCAAACACTCGACTTTATATCTAAAGGTATTCTTAACTACTCTCCTCTCAGACCTACATATACTACGACCATTTTCTGCAGAATCAAATTATTTAAGGCACCAATTTCTGTACGCTGAAAAGAAGCGCATAATTTTTTTTTTGCTATAGTTTAAACAATGAAAGGGTGAAAAACGGGAATTCGGTATATACACATAAATTGCAACGACAAGGGGGCATCTAAAGTATTAAAGAACTAGCAGACTTCCAAGAAATTTCTAACTTAACTTACTTTTTAGAGCCATAAGTAAAATCGCAGCTAAGTATATTCTCCTAAAGAAAAGTTCGTTAAAAAAAATAAAAGTTTAGCGTAAAGCAAATGTATAATATATAAAAAAAAATTACTTTTATAACTTGAAGGGAAACAGGTCGCTGCCCATTGAGTTCTGTTATTATAAGAGAGTTATCTGCTGCGCTCAATAAAACTCTTCCTTTAGATGGTTTTCGAAGTAAGAGTTAAATAAAGAACCATATATAGAACGTACCCTTCGAGTCATGTCTAAGACAATTTATAGAAGTTGAATGAGGAGAAAAGGCAGTAAGAAGTTGGGCACCATCAAAAACCTCGAATAAAGTTTAACCACTTTAAACACATAACACTATTTATAATATAATAAAGTTAATAAAACATGCACATTTATAACACCTTTATAGTTTGTTTATCGCAAGCCGTAAAACGAAACATTTTATATACATATCCTGTTAAAAGAAGGCGCTGTCTATTCTAAAGTGAAAATAATAATACACTAATTCAGAAAGGTAATGAAGGAACTCAACTAATTTTTTGTTTTGCACCTCCAAACTAATTCTTTAATAAAATATCACAATGTACTTAAAAGGTCGGCAAATGAGGTGAGTATTATTGGGCGATGCACTAACATACGCGACAGGCTTGCTAAATGTGCAAATTATAGCAAAGAGCGTGCCGGAGACTTGTAATGCGGTCAATACACACTATGACAACTTAACGTCAATGTACTACCACCCCGACTACCTTATGCTTCTCGTGAAGGGTAAGATCTAATCAAAGGTCTTTCCCTTCTCATAATTATAATATTCGGTAAAAGCAGCTATAATAACAGCAACAACCGCAAATTTGGAGGTCACGCTCAAACTAGGGAATGCCTAGAATTTGTCAACAAATATTTTTAATTCACGGCCTCGTTACATTAGCGTACTTTTCTGAAATGCATAAATTCTGAACAAGGGAACATGAAACTTAAAGAATTACGCAAAGTATAAAAATTGATAATTGTATTGAATGCAAACTCACCCCTTTACCAGCGTCACATTCAACTTTTTTCAATTTTTCAACGCACCACCAGGACTGGCAAGGTGCCGCTGATCCTGGTCATATGAAGCATTCAACACCCTCTAATACCAGTGCCAACTCTGCAATAACTCTATCTCGACGCGCTTCTTAGTTAGTTTGTCTATTGGACTTTGCTGTTTACTTTAAAAAAAACGACGAGAAAACAGACAAGACCTTATGTTTGTGGTCTCCGCTTATTTATCCCAAACTGTATTATGTGGTAACTTACACAGCAAAACACCTACCCTTAAAACAGCCGGGCCCAGTTCAGATTGGTCGCATTCTCGAGACGTACGCTGGAGATTGCGAGCTGAGGGAGGGTGCAGTGTTACACAAAAAAAACCTAAAAACCGAATACAACAACAAATAACTCGAATCAATTATAGTTGAGGATTTCAGTTGACGAAAATAGCTGGTTAAATAAAGAAATTTATAGGAAACCAAATAAGAAAATTAGTTTACACTACATTAAATAGATACAATTTACAAAAAAAAAATATATATAAATTTTATTTGTTAGAAACATGCTTTATCCTTTAGCAAAAGTTATGAATACATAATTCTGGCACGTTATATAAATTCATATAGTATTTTAAAATTTTTTATTTTATGCATCTGTAACCTTTTGGTATACCTAAAAAAAGAATTATTATGGCTCTAATTTCCTGGTTAAATGTTTACCTAGGCATTTCATATATTATTTTATTAACTATTACTTCTCACGTAATGAATTTCGTATTGAAAAATAACGAGAATTCTGGTGGACTTTTTAATCGCTCATACTTGTAGGGGCAAGCACGAGGAACTATTTTTCTTAACTTTTATGTCCCAAATAGGAACTTAATTTTTTGTTTGACTTAATAATAAATACCATCCTTCTTGTATTTTGACTTTCTTTGTATTTATTCTTGTAACTCAGTTTATATATTCTTTTTTCCTTAAGTACTTAGACATCTCGATATTTCTTTTTATTTTTGGAGCTTAAAGTTTATTAATACTTTCAAAGAGTGTCTCAATAAGTAGATTTAGAATTATTTTAAAGCATTAAATCTTGGTCGGATTATAACATCAGTTAGTGTTAAAAGCATGTATCCTCAAAATACCTTTATAAATAGTTAAAAAAGTTTCAATTAGCTTAGCAAACTATAAAGGCAAGTGATAAATTTTTACTGGTTAACAGCTAAGCTCCAAGTTTACCTGTCATTTCAAAGCAATATACCAAAAAACTGAAGTATTCCCTAGTAATACTTCCTGATTAGAAACGCGGTCATTAAAGCGACTACTGATACTGAGTTGCGATAAGAAGTTCGGATTAGTATAACATGCAATTATCTCAAGCACTATGCAGGGAATTATGAAATCATTCAAAGGTTCGTGAAGCCATTGCAATTATAGAATGCCTTCTACAACATTTTCAGTGTTTTCAAATAGAGCATGTTCTTAGCTTTAAAGAGGAGTTTGAGAACCTTAAAATGTTAGGGCTGCATCCTTGGAGCAATAAGAAACCGCATTAACGTTCTAAACGGAAGGTTTGAAACCAAGAGAATGAAGTTAACTAGATGACGGGTCGAACACATCACACAATCGAATTGTTGAGGGTCCATATTAGCGTTGACAACCTCTTGGCAAATTATTATTCTCCACCTCCCCTTCCTCCCCCCGACAAAAGTATGAACCACCTGAAGAAGTTGAATGAATACAATCTTGTCAAACTTCTCTTTAAAAGGGGAAATGAAGAATTTAACGGTAGTACTTTGCGTGATTAGATAAAATTAATATCACGGAAATGTTTCACCAGCGAAGGACCCGAAGAGCTTGCAAAACAATCCGAAAGCCGCGAATAAGAATTAGGCGAGAGCTCTTAGTATTTCAACGAGATAAAAAAATTACTAATACAGGCTTGGAAAACAGCCAGTACACATAAAATGGCAAAGAGGCTAACTACAAAGGAAATTATGATTATATAAGGTTAATCCTATTGGCCTATATGTCAAAGAAGCTGCTCTTTATAATTTCTGGCTTCAAAAATTGAAAATTTTGTAACGAATCAGCGTGGAGATTCGCCTCCTGAGAAAATTATTTTTGTCACTTAGCAGAAGTCAAAAGGTTGCTATTACCTGACCACTTCTTTCTACGCAATAATGGCGCTACATTTTTAGGGCGTGATGGATTTATTATTAGATCGAGGAAACTCATTTGCGTTTCCTGTACCTAAGGGAACCTAGGCAGAAATTTGTAAAAAAGAGAAAATCACTTTGCTTATTATGATAGACGTTAAACCGAACCTTAATATTGGTCATTTATAACCTCAACGTAGTGTGCAAAAAAACGATAGTTGTGAAGTTATTCCTATCGCTTCTAAATCTACAGCAACGGCGAAATTCTTTAGAATTTTCTAACTGAATTCTTGAATATAGCTACGCCGTTAAGCATATACACCCATTAAAAGAAGAGTTTACAAATAAATTTTTGGAGATATTAGCATGTTCCCGGTTGCACAATCCAGTAGTAAAACGATAATTTATACAGCAAAAATATACACTTTTTAGGGCCGAAGCTATTTTGACCATGCCGCATTCACTATAAAAATATATTATAAAAGCGGGTGATAATTTGACCAGATCATACCGAGGATAGATCCACTCTACATGTTTACAACTCCTAGGTTTTTACGAGCCAACCCCCGTATAAAGACAATACTGGGTTCCACATTAATGCTTGCGAAGTTGTGTGCACAGCTATAACCAAGGAATTAAAAGGTTGTGCCGGAGGGGTTTTAAGATAATTGGTGACATTTTATAAATGTCCCTAATTTTTATAAGCAATCCAAATCTAATTTATCAGCTCATTTGAACGTTTAATAATTAATAACCCCAGCCTGAAAACCCAACTAACGGGCGTACAAGACCTGGTTACGAAAAGTTGTTGTTCAATGCCCGAGAGCAAACCAGGAAGCCTTAATATCAGAGTAAAGAAAGTCTTTAGTAAACAGCACTTAAAGCCTTGGACCGAGTTGGTACTTACAAAATTACTAATTTCCTGGGGGTAAAGCTATTAGAACAACCACAAAAATACCAATTAAGGCAGACGGAAAGCTTATTAAACCCAGGTTGGGTGTATATATCGAGGGCCTAATAATAAATCAACTAAGGCGGCTGTAAAAACTTATATGTGCATACTGGCATGGATTACACGATATATTTTAAATGTTCGCGTCCTTAGGGTATAAAAGTCCACGTTTAAAACAAGTTCAAGCATTAATCGGTACAAAACAAGCCGAATTACAAAATTCCATCGCCTTGTACACAAGCCAATTGGAAAACGAGTTAGTTATATCTGTAAATCACCGAGGAAACTCCTCTATGTAGATGACTTTGAAGTGTAAACTAAAAACGAGTCGAGTTGAATTCTTTTTAAACAATGAATAAAATTGATAGAATTAAGGCCCCCAACTTTGTCTTCAGCTTGACCCTTTCTTTAAGAAAAAAAAAATTTTAGTTCACACAATGAAAGGTCACGTTGACTCTCTATTAGAGTACAACATTAAAGGTTGCAAACCAGTATATCATCCTATGTGCACTGTGACACTGAAAAAGGTTGAAATCACCTGCAAAGCGTTACCCATAAGTTAGTCGGTTAGGATCCCCATTATACTTAGTTGTCGATTGATAAATTTTCGTGGAATCTTAACTCTGAGATGGAGCATGAAGAGTTAGCATAAAGTAAACTTAGCAAATGTATTTAGTTTCAACGTATGACCTTGAAGAGGATCGCAAGCTCCATTTTACTACAATGTTTTATAAAAATACATAAACAAGGTTATGAGAGAATGCCACCTGCTCTCAGACCTATTGTGGCATATTGTCACAATCTTATAGCAGTTCTTGTTTTCACATGAAGAACGTAATTTGTTTAAGGAGAAAAAGAAGGTTTGTGAAATTTTTATTTAAGGGCTTTGAGCCGAGTGTCGTCCCTTATCTTTTATAACGGACTAAAAACCCAGTAACGGGGCATCGCATTTTAGAGGGATGAAATTTTTGCGTTAATAGGCAGTTTCTAGTAGCCGATATGTTTGCGAATATCTCAAGACATGCACATAAGGATTTAACAAAATAGGGTGTGGTGGTGGAAATTTCGTGCAAATAGCTGGTAAACAGCAGTGGCAGGAGTGGAGGTCCTTGTGGAACGCCAGCTATAAAAGCTACCAAAAAAGTTCTTTTATTAAGGAAAATTAATGACAATAAAAGTTTAATAAGTTATCGATCTAAGTCATTATTGCCAAACTTTGTTAAAGACTTATTTAACATTCAAAAACACAACTATCGTTCCTTTTACTAATAAATTCATTTCATTCCGTTTCTATTGAATATGCACCTAACCGCTCGTGCCTTATAAAGCCACCATGCAATAGTAAAAGATGGTGTAGTAAAGTTTTTAGATTGCAACTTAGCAAAAATTAGTGCCAATTCTTGAAAAAACAGACCTTGCAATGTTATAAACAAGGTAGAAGTAATAAAATATTTCTACCACTACTTTTATTTATAACAAATAATTCGCAATTATTTACTTGCACTAGAGCAACTGAACTCCTCCTCTTTGTTAAAGTTCCCGCCACAAAAGAAAGTGGATGGTCACCTAAAGGTGATTTAGACAATGGCATATCAGGGTCTAAAGTTCTAACAACTCAAGTAATTCAGTCCCTTCCTAGGCCTAAACGACTATTTACTTAATAAATTTAACTTTAACTTGAGATTCTGAATTTTATTTATATATATTATTATTTTAAAGTAGCTCCTATATTAGTTCCTAATTCTGTTTCGCGGTAATACCTTACGACTATATGGTAGCGTAAATAGTCTATTTTTGGAATTGTTCAAGCTACATTTCCCCTGAAAGGTTCTGCTATTTGTTAACAAAAATCTTTGTATACTAACCGCAGAAGTGTCTTTTGCTTGCTGCGGTGTTGATCCTCTGATTTGGCAGCTATTATTACCCTTTCTACCATCACAAGCATTAAGTAACCTACCTTTATCCTTTTAAACTTGCTATTAACTTTTCCCAAAATTAAAAACAGGAAATCTAACAAAATTGCAAGAACGATATCCAAGATGCAGTAGGCGCGTAATGTATAAAGCTTTCTTAACCGGTAGTAAGTAATTTTACATGCAAGTGTCTTTTTTATAGTTATTGCGGCCGTCTCTTGATGTAGTACAGCAACTAGTAAAAAATAAAAAAAATTCTTCGCCTTTAAATAACACAAGTTTGCTTTTCATAAGTAAAAAACTGTATTAACAAAAAAAATATTGCTTGAATTGTATTTATCTTGGTAAGTAGGTTTAAAATAATGTCACAAAAAGTACTTTTTAGGTCATTGTATTGCTCGAAAGTGATTTTATATACTTCATTCCTCTTACAAAATCAAATATAACGCCACTGAGTGTTGAATTAACTTTTTAAGCAATCTAATTTAGGGGGGGGAGAGCAATTTACAGTTGTGCCTGCTCTTTTTACAAGGAAATGGCTTTGCATATATTTTCGGATGTATGGCTTTTTATAAGCGTACGAACACCGACGGATACTTGTTTTACCCTTATAGCTTACGCTAATTGGTGACAGTGCATTCTTGGTTTTTTAAGAGGCGACAATTTTGATTCGCTTGGAGTGAGTAAAAAGATTTAATGGTCTTGTTTGCAAAACTTATTAATTTTTGTATTATTTTTAGTGAAATAAAAATTTATGGTACCGAAATTTTATTTTTAAGGACTAAGCTTGCTGTGCTCTTTATGGCAAGAAATAAAGTTAACCCAGTGATTTGGCTTTCGACCAATCTAAAGCTCCCTTGTGCTACTCTGCTTTGAAACTTTTTATTTATTAAAGTCTTACATTTATTACAAAACAAACCAATAAAAAATAATTAAAAGTATCATATATTTATAACTCGTCCATCTGCTTGATTTTTATCTCCCGCCTTTCATGACTGCTATACAGCGCAAGCTCACAAATGCTTCGCGGCGCCTTGCAAGTTCCTCCATTGTCCTTTCCGCCGGTAAACAAATACCCGGAAGGGAAATAAATCTATTATTCTCTTCACCTCTCTCTAGTGAGAGACTTGAACTATTATTTAACTTATCAACTTCCCCCTCACCCTCGTGAGAGTTTTCCTTTAGTTCATCTTGAAGCGATTTTTGAGGCCCCTTGCAATTCTCCTCTGGCTCGTCTACTTCAAATGTAGCGCCGAGAGGTCGAACATAGACGTCGTCTTTCCCAAGTTGTAAGCTGCTGAAAGATTGTGATATATCATCAGTCTCGCTTCTTGGGCCTTCTGTTTCGCCTTCCCTCGCTCTAATGTAGCTCGAACTAGAAGTAGTAGCAAGGCTGCACGGTAGGTCCCGTGAAAATAAATTACATTAAAAATAGAAAAAACTTCTTAGTAGTACTCTTCTGTATGGATATATAAAACCTCCTTTCGCTTGTCTGGCTAGGAGAAGCAGTTTCGTATTCTTTATTTTATGACAGAGTTACTAATAGAATTATATATATATTTTTTATTAATAACCCGGCTCAAATAAGTCGCTCTCTATTATATCAACTGAGCCTAGGATATCCTCCTCCTTGATGTTTTCTGACGATTATTTTAAATTCTTTCTCAATTAATCAGTTTTACCTTAATATACATACAAGAAGGCACTGAGGCGCATATATATATTTACCATAGTTTGAGCGTTTTCGTAAAGCGGAAGTTCGCCTAAATAGCGAAAATTTTCCTTGACTCTGCGAATGCTCTTTTCTCTTTGCCTTATTTAAATGTTCAGTCCCCTTCGAGTATATTTCCTTTCTTATATTAAAGCTAAGAGACTTTTTTAAAACAAATAATCATGATTAACGGATCAAAACAATAATAAATAACTTTATTACTTAAAAGGTTAAACTGCAATAAAAAAAAAACCTTTTTTCTACTACAACTGTTTTGTTGGCTCTCAAAGTCCTGATTCGGATTGGACAAAGTTCGTAAACCTGACAAAGAAATTGTATTGTTAATGTAAACAGCAATACTTTTTAGATTAAAGTAAAGAAAGCATTTTTCTATAAGCTTTTTAACTTCTTTTCATCTTAATTAAGGGCACTAAATAAAAGTAAGAATATAGAAGTAGTAGAAAAAGTAAACAATGTATTTTAAATGTTTTAGACACGAAGGGGTGGAAATAGAATTTTTTTCTAGTTTAGTGAGAAGGAATGATAAAAACCTTTTTTGAAAGAGAAAGATTTTCCCCAGTTATGTTTTTCTTCCCTATTACTGTGAGACATGGGCTTCTCTATAAGTATCAAACCTATATTCTCTCATCTACAGCTAAAAAAAGGCGCCGAAAAGCAAGAAGAAAGCCCGTTTAAGTTGATTAGCAATTTCCTTTTTTGGACAGTTCAACTAAAAACAATCTCCCATTATGGTCTAGGGAAATTCCTAGGTATCCATCTTTCTTCTTACCTTTTGGCACCTAGAAAACGTAGAATAATATAAAAAAATAATTAAGCAGGTAAGTAGTTTTCCATGTCTTAAAGTTATATGATAATAGTAAACTAATATTTTTATTCATTAGAACATTTAGGTGTATAAAAACAAAGTTAAGTAACGAAGCCTTAGTTTTTTTAATAGTTTTATACCTATTTTGAGTTTCGTAAAAAGCCACTAAACAAACTCTTTAAAGTTGATTTATACGATCATAAACAAAATATAAAAACCAAGATTTCACCAGATCTACATGAGTAGCACGGACAGGAAATCAGTCGTAAAAAAGCAAACCTCTGAACTCGAATTCCAAGAAGTTTTAGCTTCAGGTATTATTAGTATTCTTGTTATTATAATAAATTTCTTTTTCTTAGATAAAATTAATTTTTTTAGGCCTTCTGCTTGGTGAAGTTAATAATTTCTGTAGAGTATACGACATAATTGGAAAGGGCTCCTTTGGAGAAGTTAAAAAGGGGTGTCTTAAAGGCACCAAAGAATTGGTTTTTTAGTAATAATAACCTGGAGATGTAAGTAACTTTTTTCCACAAAAAAGGTTGCCTTGAAGTTTATTTCAAAAAAGCAAGCTGTTAGCTTTAAGGTTGACTTAACGCTTGAAAGCAGGATTTTAAGGAAGCTCGGACACCATCCAAATATTATACGGTTTATTTATTAAAAAAAAAAATTAATTCTTTCACAAAGATTTGAAAAGATACATTGGATTATATGAATCTGAAGATAAACTTCATTACGTTATTGCTACTGAATTCGCAGCAGGTAGGGATCTGCTTTCGAGAATAACATTTGAGAATTTTGGAATAGAAGGTTTTAACTATATGTAACGTATATTTTAAGCCCAAGAATTTTAAAGATGAATTCACTAGCAATAGAAAGCGCAGTTTAACCTTTATTTTTTTTTCATTTGGGGCTTTTAAATACTAACAACGGTTATGAAAAGATAGCGTAATATATATAAATAGCTTTAGGTGGATGTAATATATTGGTAAGGTCCTGTTAGTCACAGACGCCCAACCTCACATATGCTGTACCGTATTATGAAAATCGTGTAAGACTTACGGCAACAGTTTAAGTGTAATTAAATTTATCGACAATTTGAAAATGTACGGGTACGGCTATATACATTAAAGTGACTGGCGCAGACTCTATAGAGAGGCGCCTGCTTAATTTAGTTTGGACTCGGGCACGCCTAGAAGAACAAGACTTGCCGTATTGTTGAACCTTGCTTTACAAGACTATCTTAATTTATTTTTGTAGTGGATGAACGAAACATGTGTAAGTTAAAGAATTGCCTTTAAACAAATAAAAGTAGTAGGTAAGACAAGAAAAATTAAAAAAACTTTTTTTCATGGTAGGCTTTTAAAGCCCAGGATCAAGGTCCATGTCCTCACTTCATTTTTTTAGATTAATACTATTTAACCTAATTTGGTAGTAAAAAGTATTTCTTAAACTTACGGTGTTCGCGAAAAATGTTTTAGTAATGTAAATTTACTTTGTAAATCATTAAAAAAAAGTACGTATTCTTTTTTTATCATACTTTGTCACGAAGAAATAAGTCACGTCCAATTTTTAAAGGCGAGAAGGAAAATACTACTAAAGTTTGCTATTATTGAATTACTTATAGCCATGTGTGTTTAACGCTGTAGTGCACGCTAAATACTCGGAAGCGGAGTTGGCGCTCATCTTCTTTCAGGTCCTTTGTGCTGTTCATCATTGCCATAGGCATAACGTCATTCACGGGGACATCAAGACCCAAAATATACTATGTACAGAGTACGCTGTTTGTAAATAGTTTATTAACCCTTGACTTAGCTCTCTGCCCTTTATTAATTTTGTTAAATAACTACAACTTATAATATGGAATATATTGTTACTAGTAAACAGAACTACAATTCTTAGCATATTACCACTTTTTTATGGCCTATAATTTTCTTATCGAACTAAAGCACTGCACAACTCTGCTCCTAGCTTTTTATTTACTGAAACCTCACTTATTATAGCTGAATACTATTTTACCTTTAGAGAAGCCTATTACAGTAATTTACCCTTGACTCTTTAGAATTCTACCACATTTTATAGATCATCTTTTATTAAAAAAATTTTTTACTGTTATTATTGCTACTATAAAGCTCTAAAAGAAAAAAAACATTTGAAGCGTCCGTTAAACAAATAAAGGAGACACCACTCAAATTGGCCGATTTTGGTGAGGCTGTGTTTTGCACGCCACCATCCAAAGTGGTTGGGGGGGGCGGTATTCCCTTCTACTTTTAACTTTTGTGTTAATAAGCTCGGCTTTCACAGGAACGTACGTGTATATGAGCCCTGAAAGGCTTAAAAAGGAAACTTACTCATTTTCCTCGGATATATGGAGCTTGGGTACAAATATAGATTACTCACAAGCACAAAGTTGCAAAAATTTAATAGGGGTTGTCTTGTGGGAACTTGCTAGTGGCGAGGTCCCTTGGTGCGGCTCAACAAATGTAGCTGTCTTGCAAAGTATGCAGGACTATCCGCTCACGAGAGCTTCATCTCCCTTAAAATCTGGTAGTTGAGTTTGACTTTTTTCTCACTATCTGCTACATCCTTCATTAGAGGAAGGTTACGATCTTTTGATAAAAATATTCAACACGGATGAGGACAAGCGACCCACCGCCCATCAGCTCTTCAGCCATTCATGGTGTACCCCTTGCCTTACATATAGATTTCAAAGTAAGACTGCCACCGACACTGCAGGGTCTCGGGTGAGGCTAAGGCTACTTCACCCAATAAAGATATTATTACCGAAATAAAAAGTTCCCTAACGTTAAGGCGGTTCAGAGCACTGGCTAGAGGCATGATTGCAAGTAGACGAATGCACTGATTACATACCTTTTAGAACTATGACCATTTATTGTTTGTTCATGAGTGTCATGATGGTCTATTTTATAATCTTAATAGCCAGAAATTGGGTCAGTAACCAAAAAAACTTGATAAATTGTTAACACATTAAACAAGTTGTATATGTTTATATATTAACTTATTCTTTAATGTTTAACAAAAGAAAGTTAAAAATTATATTTCAATACGTGATCTTCGAGGCAACAGGATGTTCCGAATGGGAGTTCTCACGTCCTCCAAGCAAACTTTTAACAAGTTATCAAGCTTGATTAATTCTCCTGACGACTTAAAAAAATTGTCGAAGCAAATGTTTTTCCGTTCACATGGTTGCCTTTGATTAGTGTTATAGCCCACCGTTTAAAGCCGGTCTTTATTAATACCTTTGTTGCTGCCCCGTGCTGGTTGCAAACTTAGGTTAAAAAATATTTGGTTGGAAGTCTTTAACCAATATTTTTGCTATATGCTTAATATGAGATTAAAGCGGAGGCCTAAATTGTCATCATTCCTCTATATTTTGCTAAGCAGAGCAACCTGCACAGCATTAGCTCTGCTTCTTATTGAAATTAAACCTCTAAATGCAACACTTTACCTTTGTCCTATACACTATTAGGACATGTGAATATTAATTATAAAGCATTCATGGCTTCACTTGTCACTGTATTGGGTAACTATAAGTATATTGTATTTAAAACCAGAAAATTAACAGAAAGCAACAAAACCTTTTAATTTTTTTTTTCCTACTAAGCCCTTTTAGCTGCTATTTATAATGAAAATTGTTCGATTAGCGCCCCCTACTACCGAGAACGTTGACTCTCCTATCCGCAAAGCCAGGCGGTCTAGCCTCTACGCAAAGGTGGTAATTTCTTTTAAGGTTACTGCTCGACACTGATTTTGCTCTCTCGCTCTGCTGCGCCTAGTTGCTCAGCCCCCGGTTAGAGCCTCGTTCATGGAGTTCTCGTCGAATGTCTGCTGCAGTTATTGGTTACATAAAGATTTCCCGGCTAACTTTCGATTGACACTTTCTCCTACTTCAGCCAGCTTACCCTCGGGGGGCTTCTCAACTGTTAAGAAAAATGCAAAAGCAAGTGACTCCCAAGTCCCGTACCTCTGCTTTGTTGAGCTTTCTTTGTAAAAATATTAAAGCCCTTTTTGACAGCTATGAAATTTCTGAACCTTTCTCTAAAGTACATAAGCAAATATTTAATAAATTAATATGGCTCTCAATTTCTTTTTCTTAGCACAAGGAAATATACAATGATTATATTAAAACATTTGAGAGACTATTCGAGCACCTTCCCGAGCTTAAATATTTTGGTTTTATTCTTTTCATCTTAACAATATACAAGAGTTTTTTGATTACGACATAACAACCGTTATGGAGCGTTTTATTACATTGTGTATTTCACTGTTTTCTTGTAAGGCCTGGAGGGATTCGAGAAAGACTCTATAAACATCATCAGCTTTTGCATGTTACTTGCGGCAGCGCTGCCTGGTAGATGATTTTTTCCAGAAAGTTAGTGCTGAAGATGTTTATAAGTACCAACTATCTTTCTAACCTAAGGACTCTATGAAGAGAAACTGGCTATTGCATTCCAGTTGATCGACCTTAAAGTAAACTTTTAATGACTAGTGCTTAGGAAGTTGTAGTTTTGCTATAATATTGCATAACATCAGAATACGGGTTATATTCTAAAAGCGGAGTTTGTAATGGTTGCCTTGGCTATGTCTTTTACGACTGATAGCAAAGAAAGCTTGAGAGGTGAATACTAAATGTAATTATATTGCTCTATTACTAAATACCATTATTTCCCTGCAGCCGAGCTTATTGAAGTTTTCCAGTTACATGCGACAGACGGCAGAATGACTTGCGACCAGTTTATCTCTGCGGCCTTGAAATTGCAAAGCCTATCTTCATATCTTGAGAGATGGTAGCGTGCTTGTAACACCAATTTTTTTCGTATAACTTATCTCACCTGTCATCACACTTAGCGTAGTTATGCTGAATGAGGGCCCCAACATTACTGAAACCGAGTATGACCACGTAAAGAGATTCAAGCGGGGTTGGATGGTAGTAAAAACGAAAGAGCTGGGCCTGCTAACAAAAAACTTTACAAAGTATTATACTAAAATATTATAGAAAGAATCTTCATCTTGTTATTTACTGATACCCTCTATGCCCTTCAAGCTGGAGAAATTTTTATTTAGTGGTGCAGGAGGTAACTTTTAATGCGGGGATATAGGCTCTATTGCCTTATTACAATGCGCCTTTAGAGTAGACTTATGGGGTACCACACGTATGAGAGCTACGCTGTACGAGGACCTCCTTCCGTAAAAATTAACTTTTCTTATGACGGTGCTCTTTTATTTCCATCTTTATTGCAGCTATTATTCTTGTTTAGTCCGAAAGTGAAGATAACCTGTCTCCAAGATACCAAGGGGAGGCGCTATCTGGTCCTCAAAAACAAAAAGGTTATTGTGCTTTCCCCTTAAAAACTTATTACGTCCGACTTGTATATTAGCATCTGTATAATTTCTATCCTCTTCTTAAACTTCCTTGCTACAGACCTATTGGTTTCTGGTCGCCAAGAGAGATAAACTAATTTTTGCCTGGTAAACTACTTTGATAAAGAGCCATTTTATTTAGTTTTAAGCCTTGCTGCTAAAAGTTCTTTTAGTGTCATGGGGGCGATGCTTGGGTTTGTTGTTACTATAGTTTAACTAATCATTTCAACTTATTTTATATACTCCTGCAATCTTTATATGAGGTTAAAAATTTTTGAAGACCTCGTTAAGCATGAAAAAGGAATAATTTAGAAAAAAAATCTCGTATTTAAATTATTACACTCTTCTGCGTTATGTAAAAAATATATGAGCTTGTCATTATTAAATAATTTAAAATGCGTTATCTTCGTAGGATTGGTTATGCTTTCTTCCAGCTAATTATTTTCACCTCAAGGATAGCATCCCACTTTAGGCTAAATTACTTAACCGGTTTGTGTAATTTCCCCTTCGGTTTATAATTCTTATGACTGCGTCTTTTAACATTTGTTAGCGGTAAAAATATGTTATTATAGTTAAGCCCAGCCATACATATCAAGCAAGTAACCTCTATGCTCAATGATTGGTTTAATCCTTAAAAATTTTTCCGATGCCTCTATATACATTTCACTTATTGTTAACTTTTGGCCAATAAAGCTATTCTTTGGTCCCCAAGTAAAACTTTAAAACTATGGCTGAGTAAATACTAGCTTTAAAAACTCTTAAAAAAGCTTCTTTCTCTACAATGCAATTTTTTTTACAAATGTTTTAAAGTAATAACTTTTTATTATCATATCGAAAGCAGTTCAATTCCCTTAAGAGTCTTAGTGTGGCATTTGTACCCATGTAAATGAAATATTTTTTAAGTCGAGGTTCATTTTTATATGTTTGGAATAATAAAAGGGTTAATGACAAAGTTTATTTAATTAAGAACTACCAAGATCCACAACAATTTAGTTGTATGCGTAAACTTTAAGAATTTTTGTAAAGAGAGAAAAGATTTAGATCCCATTGTAACATATTATTAGAAAGACCTAAAATGCTTCATGAAAATAAGCTATCATTCTACTGGTAACTATATTTAAACGACTGATGAACTGCATATACTAAGGCATATGGGTGATGCCTTAAAATTTATGTTTTTTTAAAAGCTTTCACCTCAGTTGTATTGACCTATCGTAAGCCCAAAAACGTTCATTATCAGGATAATAAGATAAAAGTAATATCAAGAATCTCAAAAGCCTCCCGTTAGTTGCCTAAGCCCATCTTTAAGAGATCTTTGTAGTGTAATAATAAGGATAATGTTTAAGTAGTAAAAATAAAAAAGTAATGTCCGCGAGGCCATACAATTATAAGAGAGGGTGCAGTAGATTTACTTAATATATATATATATAGATATAAAAATTAAAAAGGAGTCACAGCAAGTGTGAAGTTATGACACAATAAAGTCGAAGGCCTAGGGTCTAGTACTCAGAGCCGCCATCCTAAGCTAATGGCTAAAGTCCGTGCACCCTGGTATGCACTGGTGTCGGAGGGGTGCACAAATTAGGCGGTTGCAGTGTTTTCGGAAGATCGGTCGTAGCATGCCAGTGCCAATACCCTTTAATATTACAGACGTGCCAAGTCTCGTCCTAGACATACAGGACACTGACTCCTACCTCCCAGTGTAGGGTTGCGGTTTACCGAAAGAGATATTCTGCTAGACCCGAGACCTTTAAAAGAGCCGCCCAGCATTGCTGCCAGCCCGCTCTCTCTGACTTGCTTTGTTGAACCTTTTATATTTAAAATTTGTAAATAACTGTTCCTAGTGCTCGATGAGGCCCACAAATTCGAATATTTCGAGTTTTATAGCAACAGTCGTAGTATTTTTAAAGGGAAGGTTATGACATATAATCTGTAAGGATTCTGTGCTGATAACCAAGTGAGCCAAAGTTTTAAAAGTAAAAAATAAATATATAATTAGGTCACAAGCTACAGGACAGCAAATAGAATTTTTCAAATAAATAAATTACCAGAGAACAAGGATCACTATAAGAATACTACAAGTCTTTTTCGCCATGCGCAAGCTTTTTATCTCAGAATTTCAAAGGCAAAGAAAGTAGGTATTCGATGTAATAACATGCGCGCACATGTAATAGGGGGAGCAGAGTACTTAATATTCCCGCTTAGCTGCTCACTACAGTATTTACCATGCTTTCAGCGAGAGAACAGGAGGGAGAACTTTTTGCCGGATAAGCATTCCTTCTTAGTTTTTTTTGACATAGGCGGATGGTCGGTGGGTCAAGCGCAGGTTGCTTAGTCGGAGGGGTTTCAGTACTATCCCAAAAACCTTTGAAAGCCGACACCAGGAGAGGGGGCCGGGGTATTAAACCCGTGAAATCTTGGAAGCAGCGGCTAGGATTGGTGCCAGCCAGGCCTCTCCCAGCATGCCACCTAAGCGGGGGAGTCTTCTAAATTTAATACATATAAAAAGATAATATTTCTGGACTAATGTTTTTAATAAGTCGTTTGAGTAAAAATGCTAAATTCCTTTTTGAAAAGCATAGAGTTTCCATCTCATACAGCTTAATTATGCACTATTAAAAAAAAGGTTTTTGGTTAATCAAGTTTAGCAAACGTCATGATGGTGTTTATCTTAACACTGAATATCGTACGTTCTTTTATTCTTTTCAGTTATCTTGTTTATTCCCTTCAATATAATATCGTTGTAAACAATTAATGCGCCGGTGTAATCTATTAGGCGCTTATCTATATTCGAGGCGTTGTACTTGTTTTGGTCGCTCGCAGAAAAGTGTCTTCAATTCATTAGGCAAGCGATTAATGTAGAATTCAATTTCACGTGTTTTCGTGAGGTGTAGCCCGCCATTGCCAAAGCGCCCTCGAAGTTAACAACAGCAACGTCAAGTAGTGCGAGCGTCTCGCGTAAGGCGGATAATATTAAAAAGGTTGAATCAAAAACTGGGCCCGTCCGTAAAAATTCTGGTGTATCACCTCAGTAACTTCTTTTCCGCGCCCAAAACAAACAGAACTGGAAGATGTTTCGACGATAGTTAGTAAAGATATGAATACATTTTAAAACGGCGATGTCTAATACGTCCCATAACCCTGTCCATGCCACGTGCTTTGTGCACGGTGTCCTAAACCGCGTAGTCCCACTCGTTGGCGAAGATTCGATGGACACGGCTATTCCTAGGTTCCGACATTACAACAACTGAGGAACAACTTATAAAAAGAACGTTAAGATCCGAGCAATATGTGGCTTGCTAGGCCCCTGACTGGTTAAGTTAAATGAAACTCCAACCGCCTCAATGCTTGGCAGGGCTGGCAAAAATACCGCAGTGTTAAAAGCTTTGTCCGACCAAAATAGCTGCGCTTTCACCAGCGATCCTAGCGGTACGTCAAAAAAGTTGCAGAGATTATATGGAACGCTAGGAAGAAGATGAGTCTCACTTATAACACAGATCAATTCCTGCAACTCTTGCTTCCTATTTTTAGAACGTCAGCTGCGTCTCTGAATAGAAGACAGCAGATATGACGAAGCGTTTGTGGTCTAAAATCCATTACAGTCGGATTTCAGACTTTCACCATCTCTAACATTGTTGACAGGTTTGTCGTCAATACTGCAAGCAGTTGTGGAAGCGTTGGTTACGGTTGTTGGATACTATCTTTGTGGTCAAGAGAGAGGTATGAGAAATTGTCAGTTACAGTAAAGGGACTGTTTTTTAAAGCTTTGGTTGAGCAGTTTAGTTGGATGGTCTAGGTCTTCGCGGGTTATGTCTGCGGTATGATAATTGACAGTATGCTCTCCACCGCGATTACCACAAATGGCAGGACTTTCTCATGCTTCTGTGCACGGTGCAGTCAAATGGCCCTCGCCTTATTTAACGCATCGGGGGGCGACGGAGGAGAAATTTGCGCTGTGTCAAAAGACCTGGCAGCGGTGGCATTGTCCGACTCGATTGCTCTTTCGGAGCTCTTTCAACCCTAACCCCTAACTTGAAGATAGAGGACCGTCTTTTAATTTCAACAGCTTTTGTTGATCACAACTCTGTCTATGCACTAACACTAGGGGTAAAGGTCGCTTAGTGCGTTCCACCAGCAGTGTCCCCGTATGGAGAGGTGAGATGTTATGCGTGCGTAAGTTTCTGATGATTTAAACGTCGAGTCGCAAGAGATTCCGTGAAGAATAAACTTTAAAGGCCTGTCCTTTGACAGTTGGTAGGTATAATAAGATGTTTCATCACCCCTAAGCTAAGTGATGGCTCGATACTTGTCTGCTATTGCTGTAAATATTTTAATTTCCTGACGTGTGTTACTAGACTTCGGCAGGTTGTTGTTGCCATTGGCTAACAGAAGTTTTACAAAATGCTTCCACTTCTGTTTTTCGCAGAGAACACAGGCGGAATCTTATTGTTTCGCAAGAAGTGGTGCAGATCCGGAAGCTCCTATGAAACTATTGTGCGCCCCTATCATCATTTTCATTGGATATTATTTTGATAAATGCGTTAATACATGAAAACTTTATAATTTGCGTTTTTAGCACTTAAACAGATATTTTAGACTTCCAACCTTAGAGAGAGGAAGCTGATTCGGTTACTTTCTTTATATAAAGCGCCTATCGCACGTTTCCCCATTTTAAGTTACTTTTGCTTCTGCAATTTTTAAGTTCTGTTTCTTTTTTGCCGTCTTCCTTAAGTTCTATTTCCCCCTGTGTACAGTTTTAATGTAGTTATACAATAACTGCGCTCTTGCTCTTAGATCTTAGCATTAATAACTTTTTTGCTCAAAGTTAATTAGTATACTTTTGTTTTTTTTTCTCATTATATATATTAATTTTAAGTTCACTTTTGGGCGTGGGAGCTTATCACAGTCAGAGAACCTTACGATCTCCAGTATCTTAATAGAAATTGGTTCGAAGTTGCCGGTGGTATTTCAGGCGTTGGGAAAAGTAGTGCCTATCTCTATCTCTAGTTCAAGGCTATTTTCGGGCTCATGAAAAGGCATATCTGTGCCTTTGATAATATTATTTGAAAGAGTATTTAATGGTATTACTAATAATTATACTATTAAGGACCTTCATGATATTTATTATATTCTAATATTTCCATAAGTTAACAATGGATTCCAAAGGTTCAATGTTAAAGGAGAAACAAAAATGTCCACTAACATAGGGACAAGTAATATTTTAACTGTACCCTTGGAGAACCAAACAGGTAAACCTTGTGATCAGCCACCAATGAGTAGTAGCACAAATCACAAAGTATTTTTAACCCATGAGCGTTGTTTATGAGGGCTCAAATGTATATAGGAGTGGTAGATTGAGGTCCCTTCAAGAGAGTGCGAGGCAGCCCACTGGACCTGTTCTCCTTCTCCTACTGTTACGCTTTTACAGCGCTATATAATGAAACTACGCAATAGGAGAGGGCGGAGTAACATATCTTAAAAGAATTACTTTTATATGGCGCAAAGAACGCAAACAGTCGATCCGATTGAGCCCGTATACTTTGTAAAATTTCATACCAACAACCGTTTTAAAAAAATAAACTTTAAATTTTGGATGGATTTGGGGCTAATAACTAAGGAGTATCTTTTAAATTCTCTAGTGGATAAGGATCCGCGCTCATAGCTAACTTATCTTTTTTAGGTGTTATGCTTCTTAAAGTTTGTATACTTTGAAATTTACTGATTTTAATACTTTAATATATAAAAAGAAAACGGGAAACCCCCCTATTAGAACCCTAAAGACCTTTCGGAACCTCAAAGTGAGATGTAACTGTGATTAAGGCTTTGCTTATGAAAAAAGGCAGTTGCTTACGTAATGATAAATTTATAAAAGTTGATTCAAATAATATTTATTTAAAGTTTTTTGGCTTTTTTCAATACGTGAAGTAGGTTTGTCCTATTTATTTTTTTAAAAAGACTATGCTTGAAGCGCCAAACATTCGTAGTTATAACGATCTCACAAATATACTAGTACCTGAACAGAAGTAAAAAGTTCAAAGAAAAAGAAAAACAAATTCGAAAAAATACATGAACTATCCGTAAAAGTGATGATTTTAAAGTCCGGATTGACTTCTGCTATTTTTTTTAACCACTCAATACAACTGCCGCACGGCCCCAGTGGATTACGTTCCAGAAATTTAGCTGGAATAGAGTAACAACTACGAGCGAAGACGGGTTGTGCAACAGTACTTCCTACTCCTAAGCCCAGGACAGCAAGCATCTTGAAATCGTACCGCGTTAAAGAAGGGTCCTGAGTTAGCGCAGTACCTTTGCAGAAGTAAACGCAAGTGGCATAGCAGTGGCCCAGAAGGGCTTACCAATGGCATTTCGTTCAGAGCAGAGAGTGCCGGTGGGCATGCTAACCTCTATGTTGATTCCTTAAACAGAGCAAGAGTGAGGTCAAAAGCAGCAGAATTCTGTAGGGTACGAGGAACCGGGAACAAAGAACGGCGCGCTACAGGGCTTTTGGCACATAAGCACACACAAAACAGGTTTCCTCGTTTTTCGCAGCCAGAAGTCGATCAGTTCGCCTTCATCTACTAACGCTCCTTGCTGGTTAACTTTCAAATTTTGCTGTTGAAACCACGCAGCCTAAGAAAGTTCGGCTCCTCCAGTGACTTAGTAACAAGCTAAATACTTTATAAAGAGTCATTTGCTCAACTAATCTTCGAATGTTTGAGTCTAGGGAGGGCGAGTCTACGGTGATTGCTGGTTGGGCTAGTTACAGGCAAGAAGGAAGCGTTCGCCCGCAATTGTGATATAAAAGTAAACCTTCCACTAAACTGAACGCGTGGGTTTCTACGTCGTCTTCTCTTAGCACGCCACAGTGGAAAAACGATTTTGGCTAAAAGAGAAATTCAGCCAGAAGAGGCAACCAAAGGAGATTACTAAAAAAAAGCGCTGTACCTGCCACATATGAATAAATTTGGGAGAAAACTGTTTCATGCACGCACCAATTGCAAGGAGACGTGCAGGCGAGCCCGAACTCAACGAGATCGAGACGGCGAATTTTCTATGCGGTGGACTTATAATGGATTTTCTTCCTAACCAGGCAAAGCCAAGTTACTCTTTCCAGGACTCTCCATACTCTTGGGCAAGTCGCTGGCGGTGCTCGTACAACAACGGCGTGACCTTGTGAAGTTTGCTATTATTGTGACTCTGGATATGGCGACGGTGGAAGGCCAGACCAGAGTAGTAACGAAATCAACGTTCTCTTTGTACTTAAAAATGCCCTTGGGAGAATGCAAAGGGACCTGAGGCCGTAATAATTCCACGCAGGCAACCCACACAGGCTAGAAATATATACCACTTCTATATCAGGGTGAATTGTCTGAATAAACTTTTTGAGAAGGATAGACGTGCTCTCAGTGGAATTGTCATAGTTTCCTTGTTAAAGAGAATAAGAATTTATAAAAAAGGTAGAAAGCTAAGAAAACTACCACGAGAAGGGTAAAGACTATGCTCGGCGCCGCTTATTAAGTAAACGATCTGCAAGTCTCACTCAGTCAACACACTAAACAAACAAACTTCCTTTAAAGAAACCAGCTTGTTTTTCCTCGCCTCCTCCGGGGAAACCCACTCGTATAATATACTTCCAATAAGCGGGAAAAAAACGTGAAAAACTTCAATGTTACTGCAACTTTAAGATAAATATAAGCGTCATATTTTTAACAGTAGCAGCACGAACCGCCGATCTCTACTTAAGGCAGACTGTTGAACGGAAGGCCTTAAATGAAAATCTTCCCAACTTTCAGCATATGCCGGTCGGGCCAGAGTTATCCCATAAGGGATCTATTATTACGTGTTTCACAGTAATATGACAATATATAGATTACCAAAAACCCAAAATGTTTTAACCGACTGAAAATTGGCTTGGTCTCTTAGAAGCATCGGAATGTTAAGGACCTCTATATCGCGAGGACTCAAGCTATTAAGTTGTGCAAGCAACTTCATGCTGTGCAGAATTAAATGTAACCAGAAGAGACGTTTTTACTTAGAATTTAATATTACGTAAACTAAATACTTTATTAATATGTAAGGTATTTTGTAGAGAAAGTTTACTATGCGAAAACTTTACATAAAAACTTGATTTTAAACCAAAATTAATATATAAGCGCAAAATAAATCTAACTAACTTATTAAAAATGTGGAAGGTCGCACTACCTATAGGGATGAAATTTGGAATAAGAAGGTCGTGCCATCAAAGAAGCCTCTGTTATATTTATAAAAATAGGCACGAGAAGTATATTGTGGAAAAGTTACTATCATTCGGCGTAACCCCTTCTCTTAAAAACTCATAGCGTTCAAGCTCTTCTTCAGAAAGCTTCAACCCTAAGTTAAAGAAAGTAAGAAGAGAATAAGATCTTATTAAAATACTCGAACGTAATATATATAAACATATTTTTTGGTTCCAAAAAATGATACGTTTATGAATATATAAAAGCACCTTACTAACTATTATATTACGTATTACCTAGCAGAAGGTCTGAATGAGAGACATTATGTACTAAAATGTGAACACCTCTGCCTTCAAACACTTTTATCTCCATTATTAAACTTCTAAAAGTTGCAGTTCAGCGACACAATTAACTAGTGCGACTCTAGACAAAGCCCCCTTAAAAAGTTTTCTATAAGGTTGTATGCCGAGTAAAGCCTCACTATTAATCTTTCTGCTTATCTGCTCACCCTTCCAGCAAAGAACCTTAAAAATTAGACATTACGACAGGTATTAAAGAGAAATACGGCAAGTTTATTGAGACAATCTAATTGCACCTTCAGTAAATTATTTATTTATTTAAGACAGTTTCTGGTGTTCGATCGAGTCAAAAACTTCGAATTCTCGAGCTCTCCATCAGGAGTAACCGCAAATATATTACAAATAGCATTCAGGGTGTCTTTATTTTTTTACATTGACAAAAAAAAAAGACCAGCGCTTAAGCGCATCCCCTGGGTGGCACTAACGTACCCAGTCTCATGACGCGTAAATAAGTTCGCTTACCGGTAGGCGATTAGTGTGCCTGGTGAGCCTGTCATTAAGGTTCACAGCATGGCGTTAGAAGGACAATGTTTAAAGGGTCAGCTGAAGGCCCCGGTGAAGAGCATCAATTGGCACAAACCACGCTGCAATTTGTTCTGTGGCACTTGAAAATGCCGACGCTATCGCAGTGGGGTTGTAGGCCCAAGCAGCAGGCGCGTATGCCGTTGTTGGCTGGATGTAAGCCACAACTGCCTTTTGTTTCGCAGAGAAAGTTTACTCTTGCCGCAAAGTAAAGGTTAGTGCCTTGGCCGCTGCCTTGACCTTCGCCGTTAAATAGTCCTTATGAGGGCACCAGGAAAATTAGTTGTCGATGATGATTTCCAAGCTTTTCGCTTGAGAACGCCATGGACCCTTCACGCCATTAAAGGTTAAGGGCACTAACAAAGGGGCGCGTTTCTTTGAAATTAATATAGCTTTGCTTTTCTCACATTTATAGTAACCTTCCATCACCGCACCAGATAGAGGGGACGTTAAGATACCGCTGTAGATACTTGCATAGTAAGGTGGGGAACTTCAATGAGGAATATACGCTTGTTTCATTAGCGTAGAGGATGTTCGTGTGTGTGGATCGAACGGCAAGGGTAAGTCGCTCATGAAATAGCAAATAAAAGATGCGAGAGAAGTGATCCCTGAGGGACCCCTGCTGTCAGAGATCAATAGTTTGTAATGTAGTGGTAAACAATTTAATAGAATTTTTGTTTGTAGGTAAGTTGTACAAGTGACCACAAGACCAATAATGCGAGTTAGCACCGACGGAAGTCGAGCCCTCATCCTTGAGTTTGCGCAACAATGCTCCAATTACCGAGCTACAGTGACAACTCACATCTCCGGTCGATAAATTGCGTAAACAACTTTAGTTACCTTTGGCCATCTAGTTACTCTTACAGGACACAAAAGATTCACGAACAGTGCACTTTAAAGACCATTTAATGCTCTTTCCAGGAAACTTCTTTGATAACTCGATATAATAAAAAAAGATATTTTTATATAAGTTATTTAGTATCATCAAAGTAGTAGCTGACTTTGAAAAATAGTTTACTGTTTCACTATATACTAAAATCCCAAATCTCGCTAGGCTCATGTTTTGTTTCTATTTTATTCATATAACGGTTCACTTTAGTATTGCAGTTTGCGACTGAAGCACGTGATTACTTGCTTAGGTTATCTATGATAGATCACAGTTCGAAGAAAACTAGGATGACAGTGCTTAATAGTGAAATAGTAAACATATATATATTTTTTTCTGTAATTAAAATTTTAAAGGTTTTTAGGTTTACTAAACATCTATAGATACTGTATCCTAAGGAAATATATCGGTAAGTTGGCCTCGGAGGAGTTATATTAACCATTTTTTGCTTCGCTCTATTGCTTTAAACCACATTCAAAATACTTTAGGAGCTTATAAAAAGTGTTTTAATTTAAGTAGTATAATGCATATTAATTATAAAAGTTGTTTCCAAACTTTTTTCTTGTGTTGCCCTTGAGTCTAAGGCAATCGTTAGAGAATTCATAAACACCGCGGAGTCTTCGAGCTTATGTTTAACGGGTTAATTACGTAACCCCATCGCACCAGAATTAACAATTATTGTAGTTCATTAAAGTGCACTAATGTGCAAACACAAAGTAGTGATACTAGTTCTTATCAACGCAGCTGGTTTATATATTCTCGCCCTTACCAATTCAAAACTTCTATTAATTACTTTTTAAGTTCTAATCAATAAATCGATTTTTGAACTGCCCAAAGATACGACGTTGAGGTATTGGTCGAGATGTAGGAGATAACTAAGTAAAAAAGATTATGAAACTCTCTCATTATTTTATTTAATGACTTAAGATTTTTTTAAATCTTAACATCTATCCCACCCTTGAAGACAGATGCTAACAAATTAGCAAGCATATATTTTTCTAACAAACGCGATGTAGTTTTTTACAGAAGTACAAAATAAATTCCACATAATTCCTTCTTAATAATTCAATGCTTCTTATGCAAAAAAAAAATTGATTTATTTTTCAATAAAAACCAGGGAAGCCTTATTTGTATCAAAGTCGCACATAGTTCACTACAAAGCCAAGTGTTTAAATAGAATAAATAGTGTTTCATATAGCAGAGTAATATTAATATATAGTGTTGCAAAGTCAACACCTACAAGTCATGAAAGGCTTAAACCACTTTGTGAGGTGTTTTAAAAGAGAATTGTCAGCAGGTCAAGCGCGATGCACAACTTAAAACAAGAAGTTAGTGCAAAGGAGACATAACAGCCAGTCTTTTCCTTTACTTTGAACTTAAAGCATTATTGTAAGTGTGAGGAAGGTTTGGCATTGTATTTAAATATAATCAATCATTGAGATGAACAGAATAGCAGTACTTATGCAAGGACTACTAAAATCGTTTATATAGTAAAAATGTGTTAAAAAATCAGTAAGGTTTATTTCGAGATACTTTCAACCAAAAAATTACAAAATACTTTTTCCAGTCACTGTTTAAACAAATCCTGTAAAAACTACAAAAAATATTGAGTTTGAAAAATAATAATATAGTAAGTAAGACATGAAAGCACAGTTCATAATAAGGTAAAGCATAGAAAATTCCGCAAATGAAAGTCAGGCAAAGGAAAGAATCATCACAAAACAAAGATCAAGCTCCTTAGTGACGTGCCTTATTTCTTTTTTAAAGTTTGTACGCGTGCACCACGCCCTGTCGTCTTGGTATGCTGTCCTCTCACGCGTAAGCCCCACGCATGCCGAATTCCTTTGCAAATTAATCAATTTTTTATAAGTCAAAACTAGAAGAAAGCACCTCTATGGCTTCGGATTTTTCTCATGCGCTCTAAATCTTCTCTAAGAACAGTGTCAACTTCGTTGCCAAGCTTTTGCGAATACTTTCCCGTTCGTATGTCTTTTTGTCTGTTAAGGAACCATGTCGGGATTTTATACTAAAATAACCAATATATAAATTTATTGCACATGATGTTGGTATACAAATATGTAATATAGTTCATCTGTAAATTTTCTACATAATAAAGTCAGCCAATGTAGGTAAAGTTACAAAAATAATCATTACATACAAAAATAGTTGGTTATATAAATTATGTACACCTGAAGAGGATTTTGCATTATGGCGACTATCCTATTTATCTCATCCTCTGAAAGTTCCCCAGCGCGTTTACTAAGATCAACGTCAGCTTTTTTACACATAAGTATGGCATATCTGCGGCCTACACCTTTTATGGCAGTCAAAGCGTAGGGAACTTTCAACTTGCCTGAGTTATTAAGGTAATCTTAATATTATTTAAAAAAGTAAAAAAATAACCATCGACATTAGTATTCATTATACGAAGAATGTGTTGAAACCGATCGTTAGCCAAAAGTGACTGGTAGCACATATACAAATGAATTAGCTTAAAAAGTTATCTATAAACAAAAACACAAATGATGAAACGGAAAAACAAAAAATTTTTACAAAAGAATATCTTAATAACTCTGTAATATAACTAAATGCGCCTTTATAAAGAAAAGGTTAAAAGACAACACACGGTAAAAAAGACCATCGCAAGGGGGTAGTAGAGAAAAAAGAGGAGCGCCTGGTGATCTTCCTTTGGCCTCGTTTATATCCCACCTTTCCACGTGTGGTAAAAAGTTCGATTGCTTTTGTTTCTAGTAACCTCGAGCCCTGTTGATTGTGTCAAAGGTTTTAATGGTTTTACATAAAGCCCAAATAGTTCTTATCAATGTTTATTTAAAATTGAGAAAAATGATTATATTATTTTTGCCAAGTTTCATTACATTAGCATAGCTTTAGAGACTACTGTCGTGTTTATAACAAATAGCCTACTCGCGTAAATGAACCCCCCGTAGCGGATTTGTTTTCAGTTAAGAAGTCAATATTAGTTTGGTGGTAGTTCAGCCTTAATAGCTTTACACAAAATAAAATAAAATAAATGTATTTGACTATTTTTTTCTTTGCAGTATTTTGTATTTTAATTATATCGCGTTTTTTCTATAACAATATTTGTACCTGATAAAGGGCATTAACGTCTAGTTTTTACTGCTTACTCTTTAACAAAAAAAAGGACCTTTTAACAACCGTAAATATATTCCTGAACTCTTGATTTTTGTTTGAGCATTGTATATATTAAAATTACATACTTTTTAAAAATCAACATAATTATGAAATGGTATTTCGACGTGAATGTGTAATAAAAAAAAAGTATAAAATATCTTTTTAGAATTTAGTTATGCTTTTATTATTATAAGTGACATGTTGAAACAATTAGCCTGTTGATTTCTTTTTCCTTTTCAAATATTTCACTCTTGCCAGTTTAATATCTTCCTCCGAAGTTTTTCTAGTTATGAGATGAATATTAAATTGTTATATACAAATAAAAAATAGTTTGCATGTCAGAATATACATAATACAGCGAAAACCATCAATTTTTTTCAAAGTATAATTATAGCAATAAACTTTTAGCATAAATATTTTAAAAACTCGGGCAACGTCAATTCTTGCCTTACACTAGAAAATAATACAAGTTCTTAGTGTGAAGTTACTCTAATAAGGACTAGAGGTGGCTTATTTAATATTGTATGCTTCGCTTTGAAAAAATTCTGAAGTAGTTAAAAAAACAAGTAGGGACAACGTTAAAAAAGGATGAACTTTGAATTATGACAATTTTTATTAGAGGCTGTGTATAACTCCCGGTATTTTTTATAATATTGATCTTCCAAATTACAAACACTCAAAAGTTCAACGTGGGTTATTATACATTTCAGTAACTTTTAAAGGAACAGTTACAAAACGTACCTTTTATAGTTAATACTTTCTATAACCTTTTCACTCGCTTCGTAACTGCTTCGCACTTTCATAAGGGAAGATAGAATTATACAAAAATAATATTATGCATAAATATCATTGATACAGGAAATAATAGTACTTTTAATAAAATAAATAAAACAAACTTAAAGCTATTTTTTCCTGACTTTCAACTAGTTTTCTAACAAAAGTTCCGGAGGTACTTAAATTGTCTTCATTAAACAAGTGTATCCTAAAAAAAATTTTTTCGTCCAAGTTTTACTTTTAATAAAAATTTTCTATAACAAGCCAAACCAAAAGGAGTATGTTTAACTTTTTACAAAGTTTTTACCTCGAAAGAAGATTTTCTATCCATTTATACTCAATCTTGACAATATTTTCAATAAAGACCTGATTGAGTTGTGAAGATTATGCTTTATAACCCAAACTTTCTTTCGGAAATATCAAAGTAAGTTTTCAATAGAAGCCAGACTAACTTTGCTGGTGACCCACAATTTTAAAAACACACACCAATCGAGTTCACTTTCTCTGCCGAAAAACAACGAGTTCGGATGAACAAAAACAACATTTCCACGACCCTTTAAAAACGATCTGCAGCGATAATATACAGTATTGTAATAAAAGAGTGCCTCCATCGTGCGAAGGTACGAGCGCCCTTTAACTAGCCTGCCAGCCCGTCCGAAGTAGCCCGCACAAAAACACTGCCGGAGAATTCTGGAGTACAAAGTGGGCTCGCCTAAAAAATTACTAGCGCTCGAAAAGTAGGAATGACCCACATGCTCGCCCTTTCGGTTAAAATCATGTGGCCCTTGGAAGGCAGACTGCGGCAACTGCTCAGTGGTTTGTCTACAGAGAGTAATACAAGCAAAAGGGTGGGATTATTATATTAAAGGAAGACTCTGTGTGCGGAAGATCTCGCAAAGCTGTGCTTTTATGCGCCGAGCATCCAGCACTGCCGGATAGAACACACCATAGTCCTCATAGCACGTGCACTATGAGACTATTTATGAAAAAGGCATGAAGAGCACACTTTGCAGAACTGCGAAGGGCGCTGAGAACTCCAGCAGCGCTCGAACAAAATAAGCAAGCAGGTCGCATCATCAACTACAGCCAATGCTTCCATTGCATATAAAAAATAAGTAGTAATCCAATCTCGATAAATGTTTCATTTTACGTTCTTTATTTTCAGCATATAATTGGTCCCTGCGGGTCCGCATTATATCAACTGCATCATTTTTATAATGAGTACAATGGTGAGTCATTAGTTTAGAGGAGCAACCGTTTTTGTGGCTATAGAAAATTCGTTCCACAGAGAGGCACCCCACAATAGTCGTCATCTTCAATATATAACTATTGCATGAAAAGTACTACAACAGTACTTATATATTGTCACTTCGTCCAGGCAGTTTGAAGCTGCTGCTTCCAGCAAAACTTTCGACATTTCGGGAATCTGTAAATGTAATAGCTATACAATTCTACGAAAGGTCAAAAATCGACGAAGCAACCATCGGAAAGTGAACCATTTTTGTGCCATACTGGGTAAGTTTTCCTGTCTCTGGGTCGAGGGCGTCTAGTTAAGGTTAATACCTTTATAATAGAACCCCAGCAGTGAATTAATAGCGTACTTACCTAAGACTACCAAAGCTTTTAGAGCCTCGATAAGGTTTTTTTTAGGAGGAGGATCAATAAAGCTGAAAGATAGAACGTCCTCCACTCCGAAGTGCTTAAGAAACAAAACGACGTTGGCCTTAATATATTATTAAAACATACATGCGTATCTATAGAAAAAGCTTAATACCAAACTCGATCTTTGGATCTCAGGGACTGTTGTCGGGGGAAAATATCCATTCATAACTTCTTCGCTAGAAAGCAGGAAAAGTCGATACATAGCGTCAACTATTTGAAGTATTGAGATCGAACCACCTGTACAAACGGTAGCACTTTCCAGGAGATGTACGGCCAGCCCGCCCCTGCTTAACATAATGGCGGTTATACGGAACACGGCTGATGCAACGAGAATTTATTATACAGCTCTCTGCTTTGCCTCCGAGTGGGAAATGGGAACAACTGCAAGTGACTGCAGGCCTATGAAATAAAGGCAGTCCCCAAAAGTCTGGCGAAATAGTTCTAGAGCAACCAGTAGAAGCGTCAAAGATATTCTGCTTTACAAATCCTGAGTCCACCACGTACTTGATCCCGTCTATAGTGATGGAGGTTGCCGCGATATTCGTGGATACTACGACTTTTCTAATGCCTGGTACCATCTAGTGTAAAGCCACTCAGGCGAGAGGAGCCTCTAAAGTAAGGCTGTAGAATAACCTTCGAAAAGGCAGCCCGCTGGGCTTCGGGGGGAAGCAAGGCATACAACGGAAATATTGCTATTCCTACTTGTACACACAGAACACTTAACAAGAGCCTCAAACTTACAAGTGCGTTATCCAACCACCTTTTATGGAAGAGTCGGAAACATCGAAATGATAATCTAACTTTTCCGAAGCGTTATAAAGCGCGTCACACACCTTTTCGATTTCGGCCTTCATTTATATAAATATTGTCGACACTTTGTTAACCAAAGCTTTCTTAAACGAGTTAACTATAGCGTACAAGACCTAACCGTCCTTAGACAGACTGTAACCATGCAAGAAAGCCCAGCGCACACCATTACAACACAGAAATAAAAAAAAAAGGAACACCTGCCCGGTCAGAAACAAGAGGATGTCGCCGGGGCCCTGCTGGCGGTGTATTGCAAGCACAGTGTCCACCGCATGGCCCAAGTAAGTAGGAGGACCTCTTATAGCCAATAAAAGAGAAAGGTTTCACGGAGTTGAACTAAGCGGACTCACAGCTCAAACTCCTTTCCACCAAGAAGATTGCAATAGACCAACTCAACGGGGAAAAGTGATCCTGCCAAGCAAAGGAGTTACACCAATAGGAATAGGTGTATTGCATAGAAAGCTCACCAGGAATGCGATACACATCGCTTTTAAAAAAGGATGAGAACTTGTCCACGTCGAGAGTGGCGCTCATAACAATTATCAATGGGCCCTCCCTGCGTCCTTTTTCTATGCGGGTATTAATTCAAACGAAAAAGCTAAAGAAATGGTGGGTTACGCAAAGATGGGCTAGAAAACTTTTCTTTGACAAGTCCAAACAAAATGTCAGTTTCTAAACTTCGTTCATGCGCTACAAAGATATAAGGCGCTAAACTTTACTATAAGGAGGAACTATTGGCTTGAACACGTGCGCAACTTATCACAAATAAGAATTTTTATTTTCACGTGATTATTGTTTATTTTAAAGTGAAAAAGAGGTTAAAGCTGAAAAATTAATTAAAAAGGTACGTAAATTACATAAGACGTAGTCTAATAATATAAAATTATACGTATTAATATAACTATAAAACTAGCTAATATTATTGTAATCGTATAAAAACATTTATTGAAGCAAGCAGAACAAAAGAACAGGAGATGTAAAATTACTTTAATAATTTTAAACAAAAAAATAAAACTTAACATGAGAAAAAAGAAGCAATTATGCTGAATTATATAACAAAAAAGTATTAAGTAGTTATAATAATTATATTAATCTACTTTAAGAGCGTATACCTTCATCTAGTACAACAACTTCATATTGTTTAAATTGTTTTCTTAAAAAATCCCTAATAAAAGATTGAATTATTAAACGGTTGTAAGATTCTTGAGAGCTACACTTAATACCGCAGTAAGCAACCATCTGTGACGTACTTAATCTTGGTACGGGAAGAAAAACAATCTTCAAACCTGACCGAATAACCAACCAGGTCTCCTGAGCTTCGTTAGTAAAATAAACAGGGATAACGACGTTCCTACAAACCTAATCTACTATTCATCTCTTCGGCAACTCGGGAAGCTAAACTCATTGCAGCAACCTAAAAGAATATTTACAAAAGCATAAACACCAACAATTTTAGAGAAGACATAAATAACCCTTCTTGGCTGAGAAATAACTATGGTCTCATCAGTTTTTATAAATCCATGCTCATACAAAAGCTGAGGAATCTGTGTACTTTTACCGCTACCCGTTTCTCCTTTTATAATAAAATTACATTGACAGTATTCATTAAAAAAATTTTTTTTAAAGAAACTTACCGACTATGATGGAGACACTTAATGAATTTTTTAAATGCAACAAAAGCTGTTGCACATCTTTGTAAATAGGGAGTAAAAACTTAGATTTTTTAGAAAAACGCATTTAAAGTTTCTTTAAATTTTTTTATTAAAAAAAAATACAATAATTTAAAGGTTTTTAAACATTATTGGTGGTGTCATCACCGTTACAATTGTATAATAGAACGGCCAAATATATTTTGTTATGCGCCGGCTAGTCCTAAAGCCCAACTAACATTAGCCCGCGCGCGGTGGTTCTCTGTTTCTAACGCACTACAGAACCATGATTTCATAAAATAGACTGTGACCATTCCTGCTCGTATTTCTATAACCTCAAATAATAAAAATCAAGGGATGTAAAAGTTTTCGCAAAAATGAACATGATATACCAATCGTAACACCAAGAAATATAATAAAATAATAGGGTAATTATAGATAAAAATATAAAATGACGTGTAAAATAAAAACCTACATTACCCGATGTTTTGCTAATCAATTAGGACGACAAGCCCGTTAGCTTGAGTTTTTATAAGCTTCAGACCTTATAAATTACCTATTTATTTAACGGTCACTTCTTAAGCGAGTCAACTGTGCTTTATTTTTATGGGTTTGTTGGACCACCAATAGTCGCCGCCCTAACTCCACCCAGAATTAAATGCTTGATAGTTAGCGTGATTTAGGCACATTGCCAAGCTGTGAACCCTTATGTTCTTTAAAACCCTCATTAGGCAGTAACAACCAAACCGACCGTGCAGGGAGGGCTGTTGTTTTTGGAGATGAGCTAACAGCACTTAATCGTTGAGTACCTAAAGCTCGTCAAAAGAGGTTGAAAAATGTTCGTTTTATTTATTATTTTAATAAAGCGCAGTAATCCAATATAATTACGACAATGAAATACACTCAAGTCATAATTAAAAATAAACTTTAAAATCAATTTAGTTATAAACAAAATAGTAGCGGTAATAACTTACCCATTGTTAGCCAGTAAAGTATTAAAAATTTCAGTCACCTCCATAATATACAGAAAGATATTACAAAATAAACGGTGCAGCCCCTGATATATAAAGGTACACTTATTTTATGAGCTAGAGGGAGTGACACCACTTAAGAAAATCCCCAGCCTGTAATAAGGTTTGTAAACCCGCTTTTAAGACTTTTCGATTGATAATTAGGAGCCTGAGAACCTAAACTTTACAGCTATTAGTAGACAGTCGCGTTGGTGCTTATTGGATTACTCTCTAAAATGTGCAAAAAGTAAGTTTTTTGAGGTTACGAGCTTTAGAAGAGATAAAGGGAGATTATGCCGAAGTTTAATTAAAATTCTGTTAATCTAAGAACAACTGGTATCTTCAACGAGGCCGTTATTGTACTTGAAATGTTTTATTTAGCGTAAGAACGATAGGTAACTACTATCTTAGACCTCGTTTTAAGGGGCCCCAATATTTTTGTTTTAAATCTCTATAACTATTATAAGAGCGTTTATTTTCCCAGTAAAGGCAAAAAATAGAGAATGCTATAACCCTTTATTTACGTACAATTTTTTGTTTGTAACGAAAATTGTTACTAACGCAGCTAAATAGTGAGCAGGACTAAATGGTATCTGCTGTAACCACGTCTTCATCTCAAACTTTGACGGTATCTACGCTAAGTGGTATAACTTTAATGAACTAACTCAACTCACCTTGGTGCCAGGCGGTAGTGCGAAGTCCTATTTGAAATGAATTACCGCACGACCGAACCTCTGCAACAGATTAGAAACAAGTTGAACCTTTTAACACATTATTAACATAAAATAGTCTAATGTTTTAAATTACTTGGAACGAAATGAGTAAAAAGACAAAAGGGCAACTTTGGCACTCTCATTATTCCCCCTTCCCCATGTTTTTACCTCTGAAAGCCCTACACAGTACACACAATTGGTCATATTTGCAACATTTACTGGCTACCATTTTTCCGTCTAGGCTAAAGTGAGCCCAGAAATAACCATTGGGAACCTTGCCGGAGATAGTTGAAACGGCGCTTCGTCTCAGGTTTCTCAAATAAACAGAATTAACCTTCTCTATGACCGGTAAAGTTTTGCTTGACGAAAGGAGTTCGGTCTAAAGAGACTGGAACCTCTTGTCTGTAACTTTGCTGCAAGAAAACAAGTACATAATTGTACCCTGAAGTAGACGGTAGTGGCGGGGACCCAGAATACTTCCGATGAAACCGCTAAAAAAAGTACGCATCTTTGTTAAAATATTATTGAACTCTTTCGACCTCTTGCAGAAAAAAAGACCTCCAAAGCCGGACTTGCTCTATCAGCTAAGTAGATCAGTATTGTCGAGCAGAACAAACTATTGCAGCTCTTTACAGAAAACACAAGAATGGTTGCGAAGACAAGAATGATGTTAAGTAAACTACTTATTTATACTGAGCTACTTTTTACGTACTACAGGCACTTAAAGCTTCAACTGTACTAGATAGTGAACTCAGGAGGAATAGATTTAGAGATGCTTGCACAACCCTCTAAGACAACAAAGTGGACGCCAACTTTGGAGTCAGAAGACCATTTTTAGGTATCATGTCTTAACACTGTACATTGCTTCTTGACCCAGTTTGGATACACATTACCATCAAACTTAAGCTGAGTAAACCGATTCTGATTCCAGTAAGGCTCTCCATATGGAAAAATTTGCAAAAATGATAAATCCCAACAAAAGGTCTAAACTTGTATAGCTGCGCGAAGAATTGAGTGGGTTAGCAGAGACCAATAAGGAAGGGCGTTTGAGAAATGCGTTTATTACAAACCTGTCAGTACATCATTGAAAAAGTAGCACCTGACAAGAAGAGGACCTCAGTCACAAAGGATTGGTAATAAACATAGTTACTGGATGTCGAGAAATGAAGACTCTACTTTTTCCGCTAGATAGGATTTAGTAGTCTACTTGTAAAGTTTGGCTGAAGGCGCCCCATACAGTGCTAGCATGTGATAAGTATAGGACGCAACTACCTTCGAATACTAATTTTAACATATTTAAGAGAGAGATTGGTTGATTCCGCAATGGTCCTATTCTTAGTGGTATATCGAATAACACTAAAATACCGGAAGATTGTTGTCAATGCGCTTTTTTATAGAGAAGTATGAATGGCTAACGAGGATGGCAGTGCTTACTGTTAAAGTAGTCGTAAAGTTGGCGACAGTAACCTTCTATCCTTTAGATGCGTCTTTAACGCAAATATGATTGACTTAAGAACCATTACTATCTGAGCCCACCTTAGACCCAATCTAAAGCGGTACGGTGGCCTCAGAGGGCGGCGGCTAAGAGAACATAGTTTAATTATTATTTTTTTTTGCACCATAAGAGGTTAAAAACTTGTCGGTTGCTTATAGTCCATGTGACCCTTCACAATAGAGTTAGCAAAGTCGGCAACGCCATTTTAGGTTACGATTGAGGTAGGCCCAGCGGTTCACCTCGGGTAGACACCCAGACGAAGAAAAAGTTTTTTAATAGAGGTGAAATTCAGACACTACTAGATGTACACCCGTTTAATTCGGTTTGCTGGTCACTCAGGGTAGCAATATTTTCGGATTGGCAATATCTGCCACATGATGTGAAAGCGAAAAGTTATACGACTTACGTACTCCTAAGTTTTTCATTAATCCCATTCTTACCTTTTGCTTTTATTCAGTCAAATTGATTGAAGTAATGTAGAGAGAATGCTGGAAGAAAGAGCACTTAAAAACCGCTCTCTAGATTAGCTTACTGGTTTGTTCATCGTACGGAACATTATTAAATGAGCCCTAACGTAATCCCTACCCCTTCGACTTTCCATTGTCGTTGTAAGGTAATGAGCAAAGGAAAACCATCATACACGACCGTTCGTGCTTTAGCTGCACCTCACTTTATCTTTTTATTTCAGCTGTTTGGTGAGAGACAGAATTATCCAATGGGGGATTTTTTTCCAGGTGATCTTCTGCTTGAGAGAAATATATAGTAAATTTGCAAAAAATTTAAACTTCAAAGTATTTCAATTTCTCCCAATAATAATTACGTTGGGTTACGTTTAAAGGTTAGAATAGAGAAAGGATTGTTTTTGTTTCCTTAATTAGTGTACTTTTACAGTCTTCAAAGGTAGTTATGCTGGGGCAACGAAGTTTGTCCACCTGAAAGATGGATACTCTCTAGATACCTCTATTTAGCTACTGCAGGAGGTTGAAAGTTAAGAATTAATATATAAATAGTAAAATGAATAGTGGGAAATTAAAGATGAAAAAATCGTTTTTAGTTTTAAAGAAAGAGAAATATTAATGAGTGTACGCTCCTCTTCTAAAAAAATCTCAAAATAATCCTATGGGTGGAAAAAAGCCCCATGTAACTTACTTTTGATTATATGACATTTCTTTAATGTGATGATTTCATTCTAAAAACGAGGAGCTCAAACCTATTTATCAGTCAGTTAGTTTCAAAAGTTAGATATAGTTAGCTAAAGAGGCTAAATTAATTTACTTTTTTCTCTTTCTAAGTTTTAGTTTACTATAGTTTTCGTTACTTTCATCTATTAACCTTAAAATGAACTTTTGTGGCAGTAATCTTTTAAGCAATCTCTTTTACATGTAGAGGTTCTTTAGAATTTTACTTCTTCAATTTTCGATGAACTCCAAAAATTGGATTTAGAAAAGTTATCTACAATCTAGGTTTCGAGGGGCTTGGGCTGATTAGTTGTGCGCCTAATAAAGTAAAACGTTATGTTTAAGCTCTACTACAGTAGAAATCTTTATATATTATATATATTTGTCATTTTTCACAATTTTAACTAACGTGTACTGTAAATTTGTGCATGGTAGTAGGTTACGGCAATAGAGTAGCTTTACTTACAGAACCTAGGGGCTAATTATTTAAATTTTTAATAAAAATATTTGTTATAATAGTATACATTAAACGATTTAAGGGTTGCGTTTAGACAGGCCTCTTTGTACTGCGCTCAGTTTATGCTATGTTTTTTAATAATAGTCACTATATGTAATAACAATATGTACAGTTTGTGCACAGTAAAATGTAAGTACGGGCAACCTATTTTATATGGGGGAGGGGGGGGCCTATCATAAGTAAGCTATTATTTGCTTTGTAGTTGTACCTGCGTAATGCGTTCTTTTATAAAGTTATAAATTAGCGCAAAATCTTTTGAATCTCTCATTTACATAAGAAATTTATTAAATTAAATAGGACTGTAAGTAGTTAAACCCTTCCTTAAAGCTAAAAGTAGATCATAATTTTTGGTAAAAAAGAGCCCAAGACGCCCTATTTAAAGAAAAAGGAGCCAATTTAAAGTGACTTTAAAACTCCAATGTTTGCTTATGAGTATATATGAATATTTTTCTTTTAATGAAAAAAAAGGTTAAACTCTAAAAGCTTGACGTTATAAATTTTATCTACTAAATAGTTTAACTCCTTCCCCTTCTTTATGAAGTCGAATAATAAACTTTGTAAACAATTTTCGGTAACGTCTAGACCTTGGTATAATAAAGGCCTATTTTACTTTTGTAAAACTTATAACGCCTAGCCTATGTTTCGCATTGTGTTTGAGCTGCAACCTGGGCTTAGCCCAACTCAAGACCCTTTCTTTTTCTACCAGACCTCTAAAGGTGGTGCATACACTTTCTAAAGCGCAGTGTTTAAAAGTACTCTTGGCCTTTTTATTACAATAGCTGCTTTATACCGTTCAGTTAAAAAGAAAAAACAAAAGATTTCTGAAGTGTTCCTCGGCAAAAGAGAATTCTTAACTTTTAACATCCTAAAAGTGCCCGTTGAAAACTGCTCAGTATTTCTTTTTGTTTTAAATTTATAGTATTGAATAAGCAACTTTTATACAAGTTATTTTAACTGAGTTATAAATAGTCGTTTATAGAGATGGAAGTAGATCCAAAGGAGGTATACTCAAGTGCAACCTCAGGGGACTGCCTAAAGGCTCTTCTTCACTTTTATAAGTACAACAGCTCGAAGAATGAACTTTTAAAGAAAAACAAAGTGGAGTTAGTTATATTTTGGCAGTAACTTATTTTACTTTTTATTATATCAGCAGCTTCCTCCTGAGTCGTTAAGATCTAAACTTGTTTGTATAGCTAATGTGCCAGCTTCAGTAGACTGTTGCGAACTACTTCACTTCCTTCGGTCTTCTTTAGCAGCTGTCTCAAATATACGAATCGTTCAGTTAATATTTATTTGCTTTACTAATTTTATTTATTAGTTTCAGATCCACTTTTGAAAATCGTTCTTTCTATTAATATTTGAACTAATAAATCCGCACTTAAATATCGATTATATCATTAAGAATAGAAAGTTAATGAATTATTATTTTATTTAAAAGAGAACAATCGAAAGAAATTTATTTGGTTTTACTTCAGTTTCGCACTCAGTTATCTGCCGATGACTTCTTTTTGGCTTTCAACGATGTTCCCTATAACTTAAACGTAGTTTCTTAACTTTACCAAAAAATTGGCTAGAGTTTACTATCCCTTTCTTGTCTCTATTTCTCTTCAATTCTAAATAGTATGTTTATTAGGTGTTTTTTGTTGGTAGTTAAGTTACTCAAACCAGCTTTGTTTAAAAGTATTATTTCGCTAGTCCACGCTCTGCCACGTCCTGTTTGTTGAAAAGGTCGAGATTGTGGAAGGCAGTTGCTTTGATTATTATCCGCCGCTAGGAACTACTGAGCTCCCCTCCTGCTCTGTGTGTTTGGGTTTTTTTTTAAGTGTTCCTTCGCCTACGAGTTTTTTTTTTATATCTACAGTATTAAATAGAAATCTCTTAGGATTTGAGATAACCTCCTTATATATTTTTAAATAATATATATATATATTTGTTTTGTAAGCCCTTCGTTTTTCAAATGTAGACCTTGACTTCCTTTTTATCCCGTTTACACTTGTTTCAATTTTATTTTTAAACAGTTTAAAGTTATTTTTCGGTTGAAGATTTTTCGTATAAAAGATTTCCGATTCAAAAAAACGTTATGTTAACTTAATTGCCCAAGTTATTCGTTTTAATTTTTTAAACTTTACTCTTCAGCTTAATCTTCAGTACCTTCGTTCTCTTGTTTTAAAAGTTTTTATTAATAAATATATAATAATTCTCAAAATTTAGAAAATTAAGAAGTAAATTTTTTTTCTTTTTACAATAACTTAGAAAATTTAAGTAATCTTTTTCCCATAAAGAATTCTTAGATGACCAAACGACCGCCATCTTCACAACGCTCTGCAATCATTCCTTTCATTGTCAGTGCATTCGTGCTTGGAAGCCGCGCAGGTCTTCATTATTAATATTTATTGCGAGTTTGCTTATACATATTATCTACTTAAGAATTGGTTTGTAGCCTCTTTTAGTTTCCTTTAATTGTTAGATTTTAGTACTTTATGACTGTATAAAAGTTTTATGTGTGTTACTCACGCTTTAAGAGTTTGTCACTTGCAAAAGTGCAAAGTAAAGATTAGTAAAATATATACAAACTACTGGTTATCGGCTTACGAAGCTGAAGTAACACGGCTGCCTTGCTCCCTCCCTCCAATTAATTAACTACTCTCACGGCCTACCCAATCTTTTTTATTTTTAACGCGTCTTTCCTGCGAACGTGTGTGCACCAGTTGTCCGGTATGCCGCTTCTCCCAAAGCCCACAGAATCGCAACGAGTGTTCTTCCTGTGGCGTTCACGAGGGTCTCTGGATGTGTTTGGTGTGCGGAAATATCGGCTGTGGAAGGCAAACAAACTGCTTCTTCTTTTTTTAGTGCTGCCCTTCTATTTTTGATACTAAACTCAGATACTTGCAGAGGCACTCTTTCGAGCACTTCACTCTTACGCAGCACACGTACGCGATGGATCTCCAAACACAGCGCGTCTGGGACTATGCAGCAGACAAGTGCTTCTCACTAATTAATTTTTGCCCTTCGTTACTGTAATTTTTGTGATCAAGTTATGTTCACCGATTGGTTCAGAGTTCTGAAGAAGGCAAACTTGTCGAGGTTTCGTCCGCCTTTGCAAGCGTGGAGGTTTCGTTACTGGTGTTTGAGTCCTTTTTCCTTTTGGTGGTTATCTTTTGCAGGAAAAAGTGGATTCGCTAACTCTTGAGTATTCGCATTTGCTAAGCGCACAAATGGAAGAACAAAAGCGATACTTTACTGAACAGTTGGAATTGAGATCGCAAGACCTCACTAACAAAGTATCGCTTGTTACAATTAATCCCTCATAGACAACTTTGTAATATAAATATTTTTAGTTAAAATTAAAATAATATTATAAAATATAATTTACACCTAAAGCACTAATTTTGCAACACTTTTTTTTATAATAAAGTATAATTTCTGTCTACGGGGTTCGAGGTAATTAAGATACTATCTCATTACTTTAATTGTTTCAGTTTATGAGAAGTTATTACAAAAATAAAGTAATAAAGTTTAATTGAAACGAAGTGACATTTAAAGCGCTTAGATCAAAATAAAAAAAGTAAAAATTATAAGAAACAGGTTTATACTCTGAAATAGTAAGTGCAGAATTAAAAAATTTGTACTTCGCTCAATTTCGTAATTGTATTTTTTTTAAGCCAAAACATATTACTCTATTAAATTGTTAATATCAAGTTATATAACATAGATTGAATTACTTGAAAGCAAACTCAACGAGGAAAAGAAAAAGAATAACACACTTTTATCGCAACTAACAAATACACAATTAAGTTATAAAAAGTGTACTTCTGAACTTCAGGAGGAGAGACAGGCAAATATTTTATAAAGAAAGCGGTTGATTTGTTCATTGGAAATTGAAACATTACAACTTTAGCTTTCGAAATCTTTAGAAGTGAATTTGCAGTACTGGAAGAAACAGAAGGAAGCAAAGGAAAAACTAATAGCCCAAAATGAGCAGGAGATAGCCGAACTCAAGGTACCGCCGGTCAAACTTTTTTTTATAGGATTGCTTGTTATCCTAATTCGAGGAGAACAGTAGTTTCAGTAGTAATAAGTACCACCAATTCGGTTTAAGATTACTTTGTCTCATTTTTTTTTTCATAATTATTTCTTGGAAAGCCGGAGAGTATTATATATGGTATATATATATGCTACCGCGTTTAGAGTCAAGTGCGGGATCTAATGTTCTTTCTGGAGACTCGAGAAAAGCTAAAAGAAGATCCGGAATTGCAGGATGGGAAGCTAATTGTGGTAGATAAAAAAACTTTGCCTTCTAAGAAAAAACAAAAAGCGGGAAGTTGGAATAAGAAAACTAAAGAAAAATGAGTCTTTCAAATTCTTAAACTGCTCGAGGCAAATTACAGCACTGTTATATTATAGATGAGCGAATATATTTTCATACAGTGAAAGAATTTTAAGGGTTTATTAAATAGAAAAAGTATTAGAGTTTCCTAAAAAGTTAATAAATAAAAACTTTTATAGTTTACTGCTTTTAAGGCGACGATGTGCAGTAAAACTAGCATAACTTAAATTATTTTGTAATTCACATATAATATTGTAATTTTAAAGGTAGTAAATAGAACTTAATCTTAAAAGTGTTAGATAAAATTAGGTTGGTGCCAAAGATTACAGAATTGGAGAGATTTTATGTTTTACGACTCTAGGGACCTATAGTTTTTCCTCAAATATACAAGTCAAGTAAATAGCCTTGAAGCCCCACTACACCGAGAGTTGGGGTAGCTTTCTTAGTCACTTGACCATCTCTGCCTTTCGCACTGCGCCTAAGAAGCCGTGAATATATTTTTCGAGGCAGCGACGTTTTTAATTTAACAAAAAACCTGTCGAGAAAGAAATCACGGCTTGTGTTGCCTACGCCTCGTGTGTGTGGTGTATACCATTTCTTTAAAACAAAAAACAATTTTCGTTCATCTGCGCCCACTTTGGCACTACTCACCACGGCTTTATGGTAATTATATGTAAGACCTTCTAGCGTAGTTTTTTATTTCAAAATTTTATGCCAATCACGTTGCACTCTCCACCAACTGGAAACATCTTAAAAGTGGTTGAAATTACGTTACTTAACCTCCATCCCATAAACTTTTAGTCGCAAAAAATAATCTACTTCATATAACTTTTAAGAGCTGTATAGTGAACCAATACATGCTGAAAAAGTAACAAAAACTGACTTTAGCAAGTTTCTGATGCTAGTGGACAAGGAAAGGGTTGAGGGAAGATTTTTGGTAGGTAAAGCTAATAACTTATCTAATTTTTTTTTAAAACGAAAATATCAAGGAACGCTACTTCCATATAACTGCCTAACTAACGATGCTATCGCTAGAAAATGTTGAGGTGTTGCAATCTTTTCACTCATATATTTAACATATTATTTTTTCTTCGCTTGCCATCTGACTACTACAGTAGAAGCGTTATCTGGCAAAAATTGTTAAAAGTTATTTTCAAGTTAAGGACAAAAATAATAATAAAACTTTCAGCTCCACGTCTTAAGTCAAGGACGTGACCTGGTGTCCAAAACATAAGTGAATCGACCAAAAAATATTCAGAAGTTTCCAGCTTAGGAGTAGTACAAGGCACCAGGCCATAAATATCCTTAATAAGGTCAAAGATATAAGCGGCACAGACTGCCTGTAAAGATATATATATGAAACTAGGAAATTTCACTATTAAATTAAACTTTTTTAATTTTAAAAATTTAAAGTTTATAATACTCAACCCAGTCGAATTAAATAGAATAGAAAAGCGAAGTCTCCGTTGGTTTTTAAAAGTAAATAAAAGTGTACAAGTATTAATAATATTTGGTCAGTTAAGTTTCAAAAAAAATTAGAGATCGATGAATACAAATATATTAATAAATAAAATAACATCTTTGAAAACGGGACTCCAGTTTCATATTTATTATAGAGGGTTAAACAAAACAAAATTAGAAAGAAGAGTTTCGAGCAGAACTAAAGAAACTATATAAGACAATAAACAGTAATATCAAAGCTAAACCTATTTTCACAGGTGCAAAGTTGAAGTAAATTAATTATACTTACATAAACAAATATTGCAAGAAAAAAAGAAGTTAAGTTATAAGGCCAAAAGAGATAATAACGGCTTATAAAGATTATTAAGCGACCCTGTGTCGCTTTAAAAACTAAAAAGTGAGATTAAACCTTTACTAGCACTTATACAAACTTTTTTCACCAAATGATATCACGAGTAATAATTTCAAATAGCAAGATAACAATTTAACAAAAAAATACTACATTATTTATAAGGCGTCAAAACTATATATATAAAGACTAATAAACATGCATAAGTAAACTACGGAGAGTTCAAAATGATTATAAAAAATAAATCCAAAAAAAAAACTTAAAAAGATAATAAACCTTTATTATTGCATTAGGATATTTAAAAAATTATTAGTGGCTATTTGCAAGAAAATAATAAGGGCCTACACAGACAGACAGTTTATAATCATCGGCACTTACCAATATTTTAGAACTACAACAAAAACTGCAAGAGCTGTGTTAACTTATATACACACGTGGAGGAAATATGAACAGTGAGTGGGTTTCTCAATTGTGTAGATTTTATAATCTTGTGTAGAACTCTTTGACTTATTTTCCTAATTGCCAACTTCAGTTGAAGAGTACGTTTAAATTCTCTACTTTTTAATATAAACATTTGTTATATTAAACTTTTCAACTATAGTAATTTCATAAGTTTTTGTAAAATTTTTCATCATTAAGCTGGCACCATGGATTTTAGTAAAATGAGCAATAGAGACAAACGTGAGTTTGAGGCGTGGGCGCAAACATATCAGGTTAATTTATGGAAAATAATTTTTGGAAAACTTATTTATTGAAAATTTTTTTTATTAAACAGGTCAAACAAGTGATTCATATGTATACAAATTTAACTTCTCAGTGTTTCACTGACTGTGTTAACGATTTTACTAGTGATACTCTATCTTCTAAAGAAGTAAAAAACCTTATTATTAACCTAATAATGACTCACTTCACTACAATTTAGTTTAATTTTTTTATTATAACATAGAGTCAGTGCATCAAAAGTTGCGTAGGGAAATTTTTCAAAGCGAATGCAAGGCTGAGCCAAACTTTTGCGACTCACTCGGAAGAGATTTTTAAAAATTAAAGATTATTAATAAGAATATTAGTATTTTTGACTTACATAGCTAGCCTAATACTCTATTTATTATTTTTTTCCCATCTAAGTCGGCAACACCATTTAAACCTCGAGAAACTCCAAGCAGACACCTAAACAGCAAAGTTTTCGCAGCTAACTTCCTCCCCCCCCCCCCTTTTCTTAGACTCCGCCTCTCAGTCCTCATACCACTCTTGAAGTACAACTGTTGTCCCGCTTACTAAACTTCAGTTACTGTAATTTTCTTGTACTATTTATTATGATGAAATTTAATGTCTGTACTAAACAAATGAGGATTTAGTGCCTCTGTCAATGTCAAAAGTTAACAAAAATTTATAAAATTCACTTTTATACTTTTACTTGTATTGTGAAGAATGCTATTATAAAAAAGTTATTTTCACTGTATTGTCTTTATGAGCCAGTAAAGACTTATTTGTATAAGGATTTTTTTTTTAGTTAATAACTAAACACTCCGACGGTTAAAAATTTTCGCAATCCCTTTTTTGTCTTATAAACTGCAGGAAGGACCGCCTGAAGAGGTGCAAGCCCCTGAGAAGTATGTTTCAGTTATGAGTGCCGCAGCGCTTAAAGCAGGTTAAAGTCTACATCTGACTTCTCTGGAATTGATTAACATTTTCGATTAACAATCTGTGTAATCTATTCTTTATTAAGAGGCATTAAGAAGTTAACATGTGGAATTAATAAAACAATACGCGTTTTATCTTTTCTATTAAGTGAATTGCCACCACCAAAAAAAATAGAACATTTTTATTCAGCCATTTTGGTACTTCCCACTTGATTTCTTCTAACAACACTCGTTACTTTAAAGTACTAAAGTTGGTCGCTGTAAATGTTTCAGTTTCCTTTGTATATGCGAACTTCCTTTTTAAGTCTATAAAAAGCGCTTCTTAGCGCGGCGTCTAGATACTTAACCTTTTTAGTCTAATTTACTATCAATTTCTTTTTGAAATCTTGTTTTAATTTTCTATTACTTAAATTTTTATTAAAAAAAAAAAAAAGAAAACATTTGGAATCATCAATTTCCTTCGATTTTTTTAGCCTCCGGTAGGGGGGTGGCTATTTATGAAAAGTATTGAATAGTAATTCGAAAAATAAAAATAACGATATTCAATAAAAAGTTTTAGTTAATTTTTTTCCGAGTTATGAACATAAATACTACCAACTTTTTTAGTAAATGCATTAAAGATTACCGATTCCTGCATTCTCCGTTGAGGGCGGTATCAGACGGACCGTACCGTCCGGTAGAACTTCTAGCGGATGAATAACCTAAAGCATTGATTTGTATAAAAATATACTTAAAAAATGAAAAGAGTACTCTTTTCAGGAATCTAGAAAACTTATATAATTTTACCATATAATAAAACTAAAAATGTACTGAATTAAAGAAAAATTATATTTTCGCAAATTATTCCTTGATTAGCAAGGTTAACTGAAAATTTATTTAAATTCTGGCACATTTCGAGCGTAATCTTCGATATAAACTGAAGTGCAAATAGCGTGAACGTCCTAACAGTTGTGTCGATCCGCTAAAATTTTTAATGCGTGCTTTCAAAACCATTCAGACGTTTTGATCGCAATTGGGCTTAATACTCAAAAGTGTTTTAGCCACTCAAATCATAGACACGTTAATGGTGTGAGATAATTGGTTAACCAGCACCCAGTAAGTACGGTTCCTTAAAGTGTTTTTTAAAGTAAACATGAACACTTTAATAATTTGTAAGAAAAGAAGTAAACTAAAATGTAGCTTAACCCACCAGCAACAAACCAGAAGAGTATACATATTTATTAGCACAAGTGTATAGACTTAAAAATACAAACACACACTAGAATTTAAATAATAGCTTAACATTTGTAAACATATAAAATTTATAATATAATTTTTACAATACTGAGAATTACGGTTAGCTCTGTTATCACATGTTATACGAAAGTTCAGAAAATCAAACAATTATTAATATATAAAAAGGTTATATATAGAATAAATTAATAAAGTGAAAAGTAAAAGTACCTGGCAACCGTGACTTGGGCCCATATACACGTTAAGGACATCCAAAATATAGTCGTTACGAGCTTTCACGATTTCAACATTTCTAATGAACTTGGGCAAATCCTGATATTGAAATACAACAAATAAAGAACTATAATGAATTCAACTGTAGCTGATTGTTACCACTTCGTTTAGAGTTTCCATGGAGTTGTCGCATTCGTTTATTTTTAATATATAATAAGCAATGTCGAAAGCATCGAACCGATACTGCTGTTCAAGAAATCGCACGATCGCCATTCCTCCCCATTGCAGTCCTGGCAAAAAAATATATAAAAAAGGGAATTTAGAAAATCCAAAAGGAAATGATACCGTGGCCATACACAAGATCGTCATTCAGGTTTTTAAACTCAAACAAGAAGCTGCACAAGCCAAACTGGAGTGCCGACCACAAGTGATGAAACTCTGGAATCTGCCCTTGGCGAAATCAAAGGGAAAGAAAAGAAGGGAATCCTCATGGGCTACCCTTCCGTCCACGTTGATAATCCCGTTCTGGGGGTACGGAGACTTCCAGTTCGTCTCCTCTACAACCATTTTCTGGACACGTTGAAGGATCGTTACGAAGATGGTGCCCTGGTTAAGAGTTATAGGAAGTAATGAGGAGAAAACACCACATTTACCTTTTTACGGTGCTTCAGCACGTCGGTTAATGCATTTAGCTGCCGAGTCTACGTGAAAGTAATAAAGAGGTGCTATCAAGAGACAAAAAAAACCTTTTATAATAGGCGCGGGATACCTGCTCCACTCCCGCAAATGCTGCTGCTAAGGCCCCATGCAGTTCGGTCGAGGGCGACAATAGAGCTTCGGCAAAGCGCGTGTGACACTTTCATGCATCTCGTTACTAAATTGCATCCGTTTTGGTAATGACAGACAGAAAGTACCAGATTCTGGTCGAAGAGGAACAGAAAGACAAGCGAGTTTCCGAGTTGTCTAAGGAGATGTAGCACGACACGCCGGACGCGCTGGTTGTCCAAAACGGGTCGCAGTGATAAATAAAAAAGCTGAAAGTTTGGTGAAAGTAAACCAAAGCATTCAAAGCAGATGAGGCGATGCTAGATACCATGAAAGCGCCCATGGAGCCGAGCTCATACGTCGGTAACTTGACGTTGGTAGGAAGTTTCTTCATAAGTTCTCCCGCTTCTTTCGATAATTCCAAAATCAAAAAACGAATGTTCTCCAATATACTTTCAACAAGTTTGCTCGCGCTTCCTTTAGCTGTAGCACAAACCCGAAAGTTTAACGTAATATTATAAAACAAACAACTTTTGTTACTCCAATCCAAGAGGTGCACCAGTGAGTGGAAGTGCCGATATGAGATCGATTGACTATTAAGGAAAGAGAACAACGTAGCGCAAGAGTAGAGGCAGAAACAAGGAAACAAACGTCTCTAGCATGAAGTGCAAGGAAGTCTCGTACAGCTTCCCTCCTATCAGAATTGCATAAAAAAGGTCTCTCCCTTTGATTGGTTATAGTACCAAGTATTCGCTGAATGGAATAGGATCTGGTGTCCAGGGGCCGGGAATAGAGAAGATGGCTCTTAGTAAAGCGTAAGGGCTCCGAGTAATAACAGTAGTTGCAAAAAAGATCGGCGGCTATTCGAAGCATGCAGTTTATTCTCCCCTGCAATGGTAACGGCAAGAGGGAGGAGAAACCGAGCGCATAAAAGAGATGCTGGAGGACTCGAGAGGAAAAGATGTCCGCTACGATGGCGCCGTCCACTTGGCTAAGCAGTTGCTTATACAGAAACATAATCATTTAGGAATATATCGCAGGAAATGGGATTTTATTCACTTCAAAGGGCTGTAACTCCAAGTGGTTCTTTAACAGAGAATATGTTAGGCGAATGTGCTTCAAAGTGAACTCAAAGGTAAGGAGGCCTGTGAGTGCAGCAAAAAAGTTTATGTTTCTCAAGAGATCAAGAGAGATGGCGCAGCAGTGTGCCAGATGCATAAACACCAACTTATAACTAAACCACCACTACCCTTCCCTCCCCCTTTCTACAAAGGAAAGAAGGCCGTGGAATAGTAATGCGCCATCAGTAGGAGAATATTATACATGAAATTGAGCGTCAAGTACCACTGAGAAGGTCGCTGTTCTCAAAATGTTCGAAAGAAAGCTGTAAAGAGAAGAACCAAGATGTTTGAGAGCACTTCTTTCTCTGTGCGAAAAGCAGTATCACCTCAAGAGAGTGCAGCACCTGCAGCCGGATGCCTTCGCTTACTAGAAGAACAACATTGATATCGTCTCCCAGAATACAGAAGTTCTGCTCGCAAAGCACATGAATCCATCTGCAAAAGCGGGCAACCTCTAGATGATTCACTCTATCTGCTTAAACGAATTTACCTTTCTCCGAAAAACTCTGGTTGGGAGGACGAATGGGCCTGCAGAGCTTGAGCCTCCCCTCTTTTATCAAGGAGCATACTTGACATGGCAAAGAGTAAGAACGTCGTCGCCGAAGCAGCAAGAAACCCGATCCACCTGGAGGCTGCCTTCCTGAAAGAGTTAAGCAACTTCCAAGACAACTTGAACACCAGCAACTTCAGTGCTAAGTTGGCTTCCGCTTTAAGCTCCTCAAACAAATAGTCGCACTTGAGATGCTGCAGACAAAACTCAGCAGCGTCGTTGTAGAGCTCCATGGCAGTAAAAACATCCCTTTTAGTTGAGGAAACGGCAAAATCTTAAAGAAATTTAGCAGAATGCATAAAATAAAAGCAAATTGCAGTGCTTGTTATTTACATTATTATTTTCTTTGTATTATTTAAATTTAAAAAAATATGAATGTGAAATTATAAGGCTATAAAACTTAGATAAGTATATAATCTCAAAAGTACTCGATGGCTGTAGAACTCTGTCTTTTCAGCGAATGAGAAACAAGTATCCATGGAAGCGACTTGTCCAGTGAAACCTAGTAATGGTAGTATGTCTGGCTCTAAACTATAAGTCTTAAAGGACCGCACACCTGAGAGACATCCCCGCCGCTAAGAGACAAGTGGTACTCGCGAAACCAAAAGTATGAGCAGTCACTGCAAGCCAATAGGGTCTCTGGGGGTAAATAGGCCTTACAAACCCGTCAAGCACACACCATCCCAGCCGACCTCGTAGATTTAGTAAGCACGAGTAATAGAAGGAATCGATCATGAACACTTCGAGAGTCTGCAACTGCTCGGTAGTGAAAAGGCCAGACTTCCCATGAGTAAACTTGGAGCGCTTGAGGACGGGTCCAAGAAGAATTCTCGAGAGGTAGATCTGGTATATGATAAACAAGAAGCGTTGCCAAGGATAAAGTTAACGTGAACTTTAGTGCGCGTTGGAAAAAAAGAATAGCCGCGAAAATCCGTTCCATGGGTGAAGTTTTCTTGGATACATATAAGTGTCCCTGAGAATAAAAAAAAAAACCCGAGTGCCCGTATACCAAATAGCTTGAGAACAGCTTCCAGAGCAGCTCTTATAGGTCTGTCTTGTTGCACATGCACTAAAGTAAGGGACTCGCTTACAAACTCCTTAACCAAGTACTCGATCTATAAACAGTTAAGCATTAGTATAAAGAGATTGCATCTAGTAGGAGGACCCACCTCCTTTTGGATTGAAAATGTGAGAGCATTTTTGTAAAGGTCATGTTCTTCTGAGAGTTTAGCCAGAATAGATTTTAAGAGGAAAGTGAGCTGGAAAAATGGTGTATATTAGAATGAAACGTGTGCTGTACTTTATTTATTGCACTCCAACAACAGTACCTCCACGAACGCATCTTTGTCGTCGCAGGAAAAGTTGAACTGAATGGCCTTTCCAAAGCGAAATTAAGATAATCAAAGAAACCCTAACCCTATCGCTTTACACCCACTTTAGCATACTCGTCTACATAATCTGCAACGCCCAGATCTTTGCGCGGATGCCTCAGCTTCCATAACAACTGTAGCCGGAGGACCTTTACAAGACCGTATTTTCTTTTATAGAAAAGATTAAACCGATTCTTGCAAGAGACAGTTTAGCTTAGTCATAAACTTCAACGCTTGCAGCACTCCACTCTGGACACTCTGGCTCTCCTGGCCACGCCGCAGCTGTAGGAATCCGTTAGTAAGGACGCGGGAGAGCAATAAAGGGTGTGACCGACGAGATCGCCACTTGGTAGAGCGCCATCGACTGCTCAAGATCCTGCCTTATCTGGATGAGGCTCTGTGACAACCTGAAGTTGAGCTTAGATTTGTACAGTACAAGTAAGCCAGCAACGGTAAGGCGTACGGGAGAGGCGTCTTAAGCCCTTTCACTAACAGCTCCTGCGGTGCAGAAGATCGGAAGTTTGGACACAGTTCGAAAAACAATAGAAGGTCAACCCACATGTCACCTTTTCTTGACGAATAAAAAAAAGCCGCTAACAGTAAAAGTGTGGAGCAAACCGATTACTGGCACGGAGGCGTGTCCTCTAACAACTTTAGCCACCTTCGCTATGTTGATACCCTTGTGCTTGAAAACATTAGTCTTCTCTGGGTTCTAGTAAAGCCCCCCCATCAAGTTGTTGTTGCCCTTGCAAAGTATAATATTGAACAACTATAATACTTCGCTGTCCGTCAAGAAAAGGGATAAACAGAGAGCAGTAAGTAGTGAGTATTTTTCAACAGGAGCGATGAAACGAGTGGTTTCCAGAGATTCCAAGCAGAAATCCACAAGAAGAAAGACGACGTTTTCCAACCCTGCCAAGTAGAAGACTTGTCAGAGCCACCCACATAGTAAGGGTGTAATAACACTACCACTGATATACTCCAGCTTCTTTTTAAGTGTTTCTACTATGCAGAAACTTTTGGCTAGCCAAACTTGAAACTTTTGCTGAAAACCCAACTCGGAGACGTTCTGGGTCGGTTTTAAACTACAACAATAATTTCTAGCTTTTGTTACAGAAAAAGAGCAATAAAGTAAATCTACCGTTTGTACAGAGAAAAGTCCACCAATAAATTACTCTTCAGGTTTTTTAAGCCGTCCAGAGTTACAAGAATGTGCAGGAGTCTAATGACAAGAACCAGGAAGTCCTCAGAGATATAAAATAATTCCCTGCGCGTACAAGGGTGTTCGTTAATACTATAATTATCAGTTAGAACTATTGCAGATTCACTTGGCCATTTTGTCGAAGATGACAGCGAGTCTGTCAGTAGCATCCTCTGCAAAGACATAAACTTTGGTCAAAGGGTCTATAACAGACTCTGTTCCATGCAAATCTCAGTTCACTACGGGTCTGGGTTTAGTATGCTATATTAAACAAATGGACCCAAGATTTCTTCGTAGATTGCGCTTGAAACGGAATTCGCATCCTGGGCGCCAGAAATTACCTATTTAATACCGCAAAGTCTTTAGGGTTTAGGTGACAGTAGAGAGCTTCCTTCAAAGAAGTTTAAAATATTTAGTTTTACGTGGAAAAAGGTCTTACTAAATTAAGTTTTATGGTATTACCAACTTAGTCTACTAAAAATAGTAAAAGACTAACTTTAAACTAAAGTAATTAAGCAAATTAGTAAGGAAATTAAATTTTCACAATATATGCAGTTTTTTAAGGCATGTACTCTTGTTTGACAAACTTAATATAAAAGAGGTTACGCTTTGTAAAGTTACTTAAGTCACTTAACGTGATTACTTTTAAGCAAGATTACACAACAGCAAATTAGGGTTAAAAAACATCGCTTCCACAAGAACTACTTTAACAGTAAACTGTCCCATAAAAAAAGTAGGTTGAAATTTAAGGGTTTAATAATATATAAAATTTTCTCTGAGCTTTTATAAAAAAATAAGGTAGTGTTAACCGGAAGTGACAAGTAGAACATCTCTAGGTAAAATTAACAAGAATGTCTATAAACTAAAGGCTAAGTCTAAAACGCATTTAAGAGATATTTATAAATACTTTTTATTCCGATGTAAAGGGAAACTATATGAGAAGCGCTGGCATAAAACACTTATTATTATCGTATAATAAAAGTTTTTTACCCCAAGTGGTTTTGCTGTGCTTCTGCTTGAATAAAAAAAATAAATAATCTTAATGCCAGAGCTAATATGAGAGAACTATTTGAGGGTGAGAAGAAAAATTATAACAAGTGGAAAAGATAAATAACGCTGAATAAAATTTACCAAGTCTTCAACGTGATTCAGCTCAGTGTAAGAGTTCATAATATCAAAAAAGTTGTTTTTATAATAATTAAAATCCAAATTGAGTGTATCATATAGAGAGTCTTCAATAAAACCAGCTGAACCTTTTTTTAAAAAAAAAGAAAAATATATATAAAAATTCTTTATTTATTTAAAAGGGGACAGGATTAGGAAAAAAAGTAAAATGGGTATCACTTATATCACTCATAGCTTCAGCTTGAGCACGGCACAATTTGTTTAATTTAGAAATAGACTCAAAATCTTGGTCAGTGTAGTAAAATAGCTCGTTCATAACAAAAACTTGGCCCTAAAGCGAACTTAAAGAAATAGTTGAAACGAAAGTTGTTAGAAGGCTACTATAGTTGTTGTACTAACCCTTGAGGGTGAAGTAAGGCCAGAATATTTAAAAAATCAAGTTTTTCCTTACAAAGCATTAAGTGGCTTAAAATGACAAACACAATTATTAATTTTAATTGTTTTTAGTACAAATGTTAAAAATGTTTTAAATTACCATTTTGTTATTAGTTGGAAAGTGTAACCGTTTCTAAAGAGTAAATTAAATGCAACATAATTATATCTAGGCAAGTGGTTAGAAGTCGTAAATACGGTATAAACTGGTTGTACCTTTAAAAAAAATAGCTAATAATAAATGGTATGTAATGATTAATGGAATCTTTATTTAGTTCAGTAATTTTAGTAAAACCTATACAATAGGTACGGTTTATGCTTTCGGCTGATTGTGTACGCATTCGTTACAGGTAGGAAAGACCTCGCTAGAATGAGACAAACCAATTGCAGTTCGCCATAATCTTCGTACCGCCCTTTTAGTAGAAACATAGCACGCAAACTATTTTCTGGCAGGATAATCATTAAAACGATCCATGGGACCGGGCACAACACCATGACGCACTGTGGATGATGGTTTTGTTTATCCACTACAAAGTTGCAGTGATAATTAGAAGAGGGGAATGAGAAAGAGGAAAGGAAAAAAAAATAACAAAATTTTTAGATCACACTTTATATGTATATGGCTAACCTTGAGAATTCGAAAATTCAAATTTTGCTGGCTCATTAAAATGCCAGAAAAGTCAATTATAAAATTAATACTCTCTACTTCGGATGAATCCTAATAATTGAATAGCCTCCAGTTTATGCACGTGGCCACTTCTCCTGGTGGGCTAGTAGTGAATGGCGGTTTCCCAGCAGACTATGCAACATGGTGTGGCACGGACCTCATGTTTTTCAGTTAATTTCAGTCTTCCGGAGGCATTAATGGCCGAGTTTCTTTTAAAAAAAGTTACAGATTAAGTGGTTTAAGTTTTATAAAAAATAGAATGTACCTTGCCAGTGCTAAAAAAAGCAAGCGTTCTTCGTTGGTAGCGTCACAGTTATTCTTAAAAACTACGATATAGCATAAATTCCATTCAACCTAATAGAGAATTTTGCTTTTCACCCCATAGGAACCGATATCTCCTACTGTGTAGGTGAGCGGTGGTATACCGCTAACAACTTCCACATTAAGGCCTTTGATACGATAAACTTTAGTATATTAGAGCTTGTCAATCTAAATAATATTCTTAACCTCATTGCTAATGAAATTTAAGGGTAAAAACGAGGAGGCAGAAAGAGAGAGGGGATCTCTGTAAGGATAAGGTCTCTGGGAGCAAGGCTGCACACAACTCAAAACATTCTTTTTTTTAGTTATATAAATATAAATTTAAAAAACACATTTTAAAAATATTGGTTGTCAACTTCATACCCAAATTTTATAATTTATTTTACAGTGTAACTAATATATATTACTTTTCTACATTTGGAATTATTAGTATCCCAATTTTGGAAAAACAAAACGAAAAACTGTTGGTCCACAATATTTTTAAAAATTCTTATTGGGTGTGTTTACAATGCCATTGCTTGCCTGCGCGAAACGCGCTACTCTTAATCATTACGCATATTCTGTTTTAATATATATAAGGTGTTAATAATTAATATAGTGATTATGTGTTACCTCTAAAAAATTATAAACATTATTTTGTCTATAAAAATACCAAGTTATTAGTAAAGTAAGAAAAAAGAAAAAGAATTATTGTATACGACTAAGCATTATAAAATGAGTACCAGTGAAAACATAGATGTACACCATACGCAACAACTCGTTAATAAAGAAAGTGAAAGACATTTACAGGTATAAGCAAATGCCTTAATAACTTTTTAACATTGTATTAACTCCTAACGAATTTAAGGGTCACGGTAATAAAGAAGGAGCTTATAAAGCATATATAAAGTTTTACCGCCATGAAACGGATAGCTTTCGTTGCATTCATTATAAAAGAGCATGCATGATTAAAAATAATTGTTGTAATAAGTGGTTTATTTGCAGATTTTGTCACGATGAGAATTCTGACCATAACATAGACCGGTATCAATTTATTTAATTTCCAAAGCAAATTATACATAGCTTATCTATAACGTCAGACACAGTATTAAAGAGATGAAATGTCTTTTTTGTAATCAAGAGCAACCCCCCTCTAGAATTTGTAATTATTGTCTGAAGCCACTAGCTTACTATTACTGCGATATTTGTCATTTGTGGGATGACGACCAAAATAAAAAGATCTATCATTGTGAGAAATGTGAAATATGCCGAGTCAGCCAAGGTTAATTTTTTAATATTTTTAATGTTTGTTAACACATTGTAACTATCTTTACCAGGTGAAAAATATTTTCATTGCGATAAATGTAACGCATGCATGAATATGAGTTTGAAAAATAACCACAGATGCATAGAGAGGAACCTGGAGTCTAATTGTCCTATTTGTGGGGAGTTCATGTTCACATCAATAAAAACTATAATATTGATGGTATTACTATTAGCGTAAATTAAAGGTATGTTTTAAATATATTTTTACTTTTAGAAATGCGGTCATTGTATACACCACGCCTGCTACAGAGAGTATGTTCGAAATTCCTATATTTGTCCTATATGTTTAAAGTCTCTTGGAGATATGACAGCCTACTTTAAAAAAGTAGATAAATTTTTAGAGTCTAGTGAAATGCCCGAAGAGTATAAAGGTAACAACTTTATCTTCATTAAATACATAAACAAAGTGTATTTATATGCAGATACCAAGGCGCTTGTATTTTGCAATGACTGTGAAAAAAAGACCTACGCCCCTTATCACTTCCAGTATCACAAATGTCAGCACTGTTTCTCTTATAACACGGCAGTAATTAAAATTGTTCGTGGTCCCTAGTACGTGAACTACTAACGTTATCTTTCAATGGAAAATGTTTTAAAATTATCGTTTAGTAAGCTTATTTCTTCTAACAACTTTTGTATCTTCTGCAAAATACAATCTCACCTTCACTACTGAGCTCTAGTTGAATTTAATTTTTTCATGTTAGCGTTCTATGGAACTTCAAAAGTATATAAAGTAACGCTAACACTAAAAAATACGCCTTTTTCCTTAGAAGTCAGATACTACTAGTTTTATTAATACCATAGCTAATAATTTTTATAGATTAAGTGGGTCTAATATTTTTGATATAATTACAAGATTTTTTTTTTTGGTAGTATACTTTTGGTTAAAATTTAGTAAACAGTAGCATCATTACAATGATAGTGAAAAGATTTACATATAATGTAATACACAATTATTCTTTTTATGTAATTGCCATTCTAGTCAAAAACCAGTATTAATATGCAGTACCATCTCATATCCATTGGAACTGAAATAAAGGTAATAATATCGCACCCTTTGCGTCACTAAGCCACGAACCAGCCTAATCAATGCGATGATAATAAAGCAACGGAAGAGAATAATGTAAAAAATATTCAAGGCTCTCTTAAAAATAATAGTTTTTTAAACGTTACACAAAAATAAAATGACTATTTGCATACTAAAAATTTAAGCTTCATTTACTAAAATAGGTTATCTTTTTATCTGCTTATATATTTTCTTTTCTGACTATAGTCCTACTAACCAAAGCAATCAATTTTTCAACTTTATGACCCTTACAGCCCTCTAGACTGGAGTCTTTAAAATATAAACAAAACACAGAAACCAAGAGTCCAACATAAAACCGCGATTGCTACTTATTAGCAACAAATATATTAAAATTCTAGTAGTAAGTGTTTTAGAGATTCTTTGGTACCAATTTTTGAAACTAAAAACTCTAGTAAATCGCTATTATGCATTTTTTAGATTAAAAACTGTGAACGGTAATTACTTAATGCCGTTTTGATCTTAAAATACATGGTTATTGCGCTAGCGAACCATATATATTAGTGCATATACACTTGATAAAAGGTTTCATGGGCTTTTCAGTCCTTCGGGACAGTCATTTTAGCTCTCTTAAAGAGCGTACACTGGTGGGCACTCGTGCTCCCACCCCTGCAGGAGAGGGGAATTCAGATTAAGCGGCTTAAGATCTTAGTAAAAAGACAGGCCGTAGTATGTCATTGCTAAAAAAAAAAATTCATGGGGTATTTTTCATTTTGTAGTTGTTCATTTTAGCCTGCAGGGCTTGGTAATCGATTAAAGCTTAAACCAAAACCAAACAAACAAGCAAATAAACTCAATTAGTGATTTAAAGGGTTACCAATAACACAAAGCATTATTTATAACTAAGATTACAAGTCTAAGTTCTACTGGTCAAGTTTAAATTAAAAAAAGTTAGTAAGAAAATGGGGAAATTCAAAAATCATGTAAATCTTCCCGATTGGAGAATACAAATCGAAGTTCATTTAAACAGAGGTGCAATCGAGGCTCTGTTCAACTCCCACCTGAAGGACAAAAGAAAGGAAGCAATAGCATAAGGCGTGCTAATAAGTAATCTTGACAAAAAGTTTATTTTGTATTGTCAGAAAGGTCTTCAATCGAAAATTACTAATGAAATCCGATAAAAAAGGTATACTGTAAATGAGGTAAAGTTATTATGAATTGCCATAGAGGCAAAGTTAAACAAAAATTCTGACCACAAAGTTGGCATGA